CGAGCAGGGTGTGCTGTTTATGCGCGAGGTGGCCCGGCGTCGCTGCCAGCCCGCCTCGGTGCGTCTCATGGACAATGAGCAGTTCCTATTCGGCCAGGCGCTCAAGCCCGAGAAGAGCTGGCTGGCCAGCTGCCTGGATGCGATCAAGCAGCGCTATGTGACCGTGTGGAAGGGCATTGATCTGACGCACATTTGCGCCGCCACGCTGCTCTTCGAGGGCGAGCAGAAGGATGTGCAGCGCCAGGAGGCGCTCATCTATGAAATCGCCGCACGCTACAAGGGATTTCCGGCAGGTGGCCAGAACGGAGAGCGCGGCTACTTATTCACCTTTGTCATTGCCTACATTAGGGTGAGTAGTTGGCAGATATAATCTGCTCTATATATATGCTTGGTTGATTTGTATTGTTGAAAGCAAAATTCGATATAATTTTTGGTATATATTTGAAATGATCTTGAAAGTCTATACGTAATTTTGTCCGCCCAATTTTTACTTAACAAGCAAATAATGCATTGGGCAACAATTAAAATTTTTATTATGTTGATATATATCTCAACTTTGATATTTGCCGCCTTGCTGTGGCGTAAGTGTTATGAAATATTTAAAAATGTTTATTGCAAATAACATTTTATGTCCACAAAGTCTGTGTAATCTTTGAATCTACTTGTTATATTTATTGTATATTTTGCATTTACTCAAATTTATGGCTTTACGTTTTTAGAAATGTTGTCGTACATATGAAGTTCTGCGAATTGTCAAAGTACTTTGGATTTTTCTTAGTATAACTTGATATTTGAAATGGAAATGTTTCATAGGAAATTAATTTTATTAGAATTAAATTTTAACTGCTGAACCTAAATTTAAAAGTTTTATATTTGTAGCATTTCGTTACACATAAATATGATATAAATCGAATGGCGTTAAATTAAAATACAAACTGAAATAATTGTATTTTTTGCTGTGATTTTTTATTTCATAAATTCATAAAAACTTTATTTTTTATAGAATTTTTTTAATAACAAAATATAATTGAGGGTATTAAAAAAAAGAAGAATATTAAATAATATTAAACATTAAACGTATGTATGATTTATTTATTATTGTTAATTTAAAATTAATTATTTAATTTTCTTTTGTTTTTGATTTAATGATTTTTTGTCTAATTAAGGTTTATATTAATTCATTATTATTTATATTTTTATTTTATTATTTATTTTTATTATTCATGCTATATTTATTTATAATTCAATCATTATTTAATTAATTTTATAATTTTATTTGTTATTTTTATATGAATTTATAATTTATATAATTTTAATATGTTATACAAAAATAGGATATCCCAGATATTTTTTACTTCAATTATTATACATCCTTTTTCTACTCTTTACAGGACTTTGCTCTGCATCAGGGCATTGTGGCTGAATCATTTGAGACCTCTGTGCCCTGGGATCGCTGCAGTTTGTTGTGTCGCTGTGTGAAGCAGCGCGTTGTTGCGGTTAGTAGAAAACAATTCACAATTTCCCCTTTCCAACTATGTTCTCTATTCAAATACTCAATTTGTTTGCAGGAGTGTGCCAGGCATAACATTGTGCACTACACGATCTCGGCGCGAGTGACGCAGACATACGATGCGGGTGCGTGCATATACTTCTACTTTGGATTCCGCTACCTGAACATACCCGATCCGGTGGAGGTATTCGAGGCCATCGAGCACTGTGCACGCGAGGAGATCTTGGCCTGCGGCGGCTCCCTGTCGCATCATCATGGTGTAGGCAAAATACGTAGCCACTGGTATCGCAATGCGGTGACCGAGACGGGCAGCGCGCTCTACAGTGCCGCCAAACAGCATCTGGATCCACGAAACATTTTCGCGGCAGGGAATCTGCTGCCAGCGCTGGAAAAGCTGAAGAAGCCAGCAGCAACAGTAGCAACAACTCCTACGGCAGCAACCGCTGCTCTGAAAGCCAAACTTTAGAGTATATTTCTAGATATCTATATATAGATACATATATAGGAATACTAGTCAAAATCTCTTAACAAATACCTTCGAAACATTTCTAGCTGCTTTAAACCATTCGCATTTGGTTTGCAATTTAAGTCGGGCTCACTTTTGTATGGGTGTTACAATTTTGATAAATAAATGGAATATTTGTATAACGAAATATCGCTGGCACTTTGACAGTCCACAGATAACTAGAGTTCGCATTGATCCTTGCTCCCTCTGCTGTGCCCGGTGGTCTCCGCCTTGGCCTCTTGCCTGCCGCCAAACCACAAAGAGCAACTGACTCTACCGGAGACCCGTCTGCGAAGCCGGTGTCAGTGTAGCGGCATGTGCGTTAGCCTTGAGGTAATGGCTAAATGACTATCTGGCGGTTGTGTAGGGCACTTGAAGCTTATGGAGCTTCTAAGAAACTGAGAGGCTTGCCGAACGACTGACAGAAAATGCTCAATTGTGGTATGTAAAATACATTATAAATGTAAATCATATATGAACTTTTAAGTTATTGCACAGGAATTATATATGAAGCATACAACAACATACAAAAAATCTATAAATACAGGTATTATTTTAACAAATATTAAGTGATATATATTATTCATTCTTAATTTTTATTTTTTTATTATATATATATATATATATATATATATATATATATATATATATATATATATATATATATATATATATATATATATATATATATATTTTTTTTTTTTTTTAAAATAATATTATATCGATTGAGGGCTACGACTGCAGGAAACTTATTAAAATTTTTTTTACATATTTAAAAATATACATATATGAAACTATTTTTATAAATAATATTATATTTAATGTTTTGTTAAATTAAAAAAATAGTATATATTATTTATAACTACAATTTTAAACATATTGCTTTATTAAATTAAATACGAAAGGTTTTGATGCAATTCTTAATTATTTTTTGTAACAATTTTTCTAATAAACATTTATATTTTATTCACGTTCTTACCATTAAAATATTTCAGTTTCTGAAATCGATATGAAGACTTTTTCTATTTACATTTATTTTCGTCTTTATTTGAAATATCAAGCGCGTGACGTACATTTCTACAGAAATTTAAAAAAATGCTAAATGAAATTGATAATTTATATTATTAATAAAATCATGTCATATAGCAGTCTATCATTGACCATCTTTTGCTGTACAATATAATATACACATAAATAAATATAGTACCTAGTTTATTCCACACCTACTTTATTCATCATGCATTTAAATCAACTCGTTTAACTGTAGTTTCTTTGCTTAAGGATTTATAGTGTAGCGCCCCTGCTGAGTGCATGCAATCCAATTGCAGCTCTAACTCCAATTGGAAATCCAACTTGAATCCAATCTGAATGCTGTGCTGTGCGTGCCGAGACCAAAATCAAGCCAACTGACCGTCTGCCCGTCTGATCGTCTGATTTTCTGAACGTCTCATCTGATCATTGCGCTGTCATTTGCGGTTTGCCTTTGCTTAGGCTTTGCTTTGTGCCTGTCTGCAGCGTCGTTGTTGCGATCGTTCAGGCCCAGAGATCAAATGTCATCAAGTTGTCAACTTCGTTAGCTTGCCAATGGCAACAACAACAACAACAACAACGACTTGCAAATCTCTTTTGGCCAGCTCCTTGCGCTCGTTAATAGGCGAATGGGAATAGGAATGAGGCGCATGCGCAGTCAGCAGCCGGCAGCTGCTTATTGATGGTCGGACTGTCTTGTCTTGTTACCGTGCCAATGGCAAATGTTAGTTACTCCCCGAAAAGACTTTCAACACGCACACACACACACACACACACTAACACACACTCACATGTGGCAGCACGCATGCAAGACCTATAAATTAAGATTAACATCGGAGAAGTGTGCAAAACTTAAGCCTGGTCTCTCTAAGCTGTTTAAGTTTTCTTCTTCTCTTTTTATGTGTTTCTCTCCTTTTTTTCTTTGAGTGCCAGCCTCAGCGAAATTGTCAGCAATTAACCTTTGGGTCAGTCTCTAGTGTTCAGAGTCTGGGGCTGGCTCTCTTGCTTTCGCTCTCCGGCAACGCTTGCCTGTGTCCTGTGATTTATGCCACAAAGTGCCTTCAAGTCAAACACAATCAAGCTGGTAAATTTATGGCACAGTCCGGAACGCTGTTGCAGTCCTGCGCAGAGAGACGTTGGCCGGGTCCACCCTGCGGAGAGACGTATTCATTCATATGCCCATAATGGCCATTCACATCGTGCACTGTCACATTACTCAGCCTCCGGTTTGTTCTGGTCCCATTTTTCCATTTCTGTTGGTTTTTGACGAACAACTCGGCGAAACCTTGAGCTGCCGAGATGCGTGCAGCACGCTGTGAGCTAAGGATTTGTCTACCTGTGCGCTGGCTAACTCAAATTAGCATAGGTGCGCTAGAGGATGACTCTTACGGCTGTAATCCGATGCTCATTTATACCTGTGACAGGTATTTGGGTGGCTCATTCGAAAGGAACATTATTTTGTAAAATGCTAGTTTTAGTTTGTATTAGCTGGAATCTAGGATTAGAAATAGACAAAAATAAAGAGATTACAAATATGCGAAAATTCGACTTTATTTATTCCATTAAATTATATTTTGTTATGTATATATAATTATTTAAAAAAAAGTCTTAACATTTTTTTAGTTTTTTAAATCAACATTTTTTGCATTTATTAAAATGTTTTTATTTAACAAAATACTTCAATAATCGCTGCAAAGCTACATTACTTTTGTACAGTGTATTCTGGCTTACGGGCCGTTTCACACGGCGCATGCGCAGGCAAACGGGGCAATAATACGACAGCAACAACAACAACATGTTAGTTAACCCATTGAAGCCTATACAACTACCACACATGAATGCGCGACAACTGCGCTGCTGCGGCCGGCAGCGTCGCCGTTGCTGTCGCGACGGCAGCGCGCGCCTAAGCTGCGGCTGCGGCTCAGTTGCCGTAGCACCTGGCGCTCAGTTGTGGGCAGCGCGGCGAGCTAACAACAACGGCAAACAAAACGCAAGCGCAAACGGCAAAGGCAAAGCCAATCGCATTCGCGACGTGCTTAGAATTTTGTTATTGTTACGATTTTGTTTGAGATGAGTTAGAACTTAATGTGGAGTTCGTTTGGGCGAAGTAAAACGAGAGAGGGAGAGCGAGCGTACGAACGAAAGATAGAGAGTCGAGAATTCAAGGAGCACAAAAAGTGAGAGCGTGAGCGCGGGAGTGTGTGCATACGTGTATGCCTGTGCCTTTGTGTGCGTCTGCGACTGCGTCTGCGTCTGTGTGTGTGTGTGTGAGATCAAGATCTACTACGGACAGCAGCTAGCTGCAGCTTCTCATCGCCTGGCTGCAACAGTTACGATTCGTGCGCGTCGCTTGCAACATCAAATTGTTTTTCGGTTTCCGTTTCGGCTTCCATTTGTTGTGTTGTGTTGTGTTGTGCTGTGTGTAACTGTGTGTGTGGGAAAAAATGCAACAAAAATGTGTGTCCATTAGTTGTAAACGTTTTGGCGCTTGTAATTGGCGGCAGCTGCTTTTGTTTTGCCTTTAAGAGCAACCAACAGTGAAACAGGTGCGTCGACGCATGAAAACCTACCAAAAAAAAATTAAATAAAATAAAATGAAAACAAAAACAAATATCCATTACAAATGCAGCTATAAAACGAGTAGAGCTTAGGATAAAAAATAGTAAAACACATATAAAAGCAATTAAATCATTAAAAATGCATTATAAACAACAACAACAACAACAGCAGCAGAAACTCAAGGGAAATTCTGTAGTGGTCAGAACACCTGCAATGACTGGTAGAAAATTTACCAACCATATGCATTCACTGTGAAGATGCTGCGACTACTACAGTGATCTCTGCCCCTAGAGCTCAGCTTCGACCTGTTCCGCACTGAGTCATTAGAGCGATTCGCACTAAAATCGTACCCACGCCATTTTCAAGTGTTTTATATATCGTGTGCTTTTCGAACTTTTACGACCAAGCCAAAAAAAAAAAAAAAACAAATTTACTAGCTCATACTCAAGTTTGCTTGATTTGTTGAGGCATTGGACTTGGCTTAAAAGAATCGCTTGAATTGGCCAGCACACCAACGCAAAATACTTGATTCTTAATGTTTCGGCTTATGGCTTTTATGCGTGGGCTCAATTTGCCTGGCCAAGTTATGGCCACTAAGGCTACTAAGCGGCGAAACGCGCAATGGCCAAATGTTCGTTAATCAAATGCCATGATATGAGTGCAAACTTTTAATTGTTGTAATTGAAAAATAGTTGGCATCGTTTCGCTCGTTGTGTGGGCTGGAAGATTAAGGCACTTAATGGAGCTCTGCTGCGTCTAACTAGAAGTTGCAAGCAATAAAGAAACTTTATACTTTTTGATATAGCAATAATTTTATTATAAAAAAATCCAGTCTTCTTTATGCCTTTATTTTGTTAAATTCTAATTTTAAAATTTCAGAAAGCACCAATAAATTTGATAGAATACATATATATTTTATTAGCTCGTAAAACTTGAAAATATTTTTTGCTTTGATGAAGATATTTTAAGAAGATAATGCATTTTTTCTGATTATTCAATTTTGAAGTTATTTATGGCTTAGATTTTTAAAATGTTGGAATAAAAATTTGATTGAACAGCAAAAGAATGTAAATATTCACACGAATCACAAATCAAATTCATTTTGCGGGATTATCCGAACTATTTGTCATCGAAAAGATATAAAAGTTCTTGGAGCTTCAAAAATCCAAATATAATTTCGCCTTGAATTAAAAAATAAGAAAAAACTATTTTAGGCAGGAGTCGTAAAGCTGAAAAGGAAATAAAAATATAACTCAATTTGAAAATGAAAACAATTATTTGGCAAATATATGAATATATAATATGGACTTATAACTATTGTAATTTTAACAAATATTATTGATTTTAAAAACTTAGGTGTGATGGACACAAATAAATAATTTAAATAATAAACAAATTAAAAAAGCTATACAACATTTTCTGTTTTACAAAAAATATTAAAGTACTTTAATTTACAATCTTTTTTACTGCAAATAAAAATTTGCTTATGATCTAGTATTATTAAATTATTAATCACTGCAAGTCAATGAGATCTCAGCGTCTTAACATTCTAGGAAAAGCAAATATCTAACTGCACAGTCTAGTGCATGACTTTATTATTGATTCATGTTCACGTCTTTGGAGTCATGCAGGCTGTCGCTTGAGTAATTTATCTAATGGATACTTGAACTGCTCATCGAGTTGACATAAAACAAATGTTAGGTATAAAGCTGCCTGCTCAGCATAACGAAACATGAACAGCAATAACCGCAACAATCGCTCTAACAACTTTACATTTGCAGTGAACTACAGCGACAGCAGCAACAGCAGCGACAGCAGCAGCTGAAAGCAAATGCATTCAAGGTGCGCTTAATTAACATGCAATTGGCAACAGCAACAGCAACAGCAACAGGCAAGCAGCAGCAACAACGGCGAGAGGCTAACGACAACAGCACGTCAAAGAGCGCAATCACAGTTATCAAAAGAAACTAAAATTGCCGGTAGGCAGCAACAGCAACATCAACAGCAGCAACATCAACAAAACTTTGCCAATCAGTCAAAGGCTAAAGATGAGTTGTGCAGCTGTGCCCTGTAGCAGCTAATTAAAGCGCACAGCGACAGCAACCGTTGCAGCATCATCGATAGCAACAGCAACGACAAAATCAGCGACAACAGCAACACCAACAACTGGCAATAGCAACAGCAACTTGGCAACGGCAACATGTAAGTAGCAACATGGCATTTGACTTTCTTTCAGGCTGCAACAGCAGCAACTGCAACTGCAGCAGCAGCAGCAATTGTTGACTTTCTAAGCCAGTTGCCAATTTGGTGCAATGGCAGGCGGCTGTTTTGGCAACAACAACTAGCAACAGGCAACTCGGCAACTGGCAACTGGCAACTGGTAACAGCCATTGCCAGTTGTTCATTGTCGCTTGGCTCCCGACAATTGTTTGGGGAACCACGGCGACTGGGTCGCGTGTTTGACACAAATGCCGCGCATAGTTTTGAAGGCGGTTCGGAACAACTGCGCCTTATGGTCAAAACCAGCAAACAGTTAACAAAAGAGGGGAAACAAAAAATCAGTATATATATACCTATAAACTATGTATGTGTGTGTGAGCAGTAACTGCTTCCTGCGCTGATTGCATTTTAATAAGCCAGCCGCGTATCTCAGAGATACTTTTGCCTGGCCCGGCAAAATGTTGCATGTTTGCTTAAGTAGCAAACAAAAAATAATAAGCTGAAGGCGGCACGCAAACAATGTGCAGACAAAATGCGGCTCTCGGGGGCTCCGCATCGCGTGCCAATGCCCATACCATGGGTCACAATGGGTTAAGCTGCTACATAAAGTATGCTGAAGTTGCAAAAAAAAAGAAAAAAAAAAGAAAAGACTGCGGGGCTGCCCAATAAATTATTAGCAAATTCTGTTAAGATTTTATCTGAAAGGCATGAAGAGAAACTTGATATAAAAAGTATTTTATTGAAGATTAAATTTATATCTCCAGAAATACACGTTAGATAATAATAATCAAATATTTTATATATTAATAAAAACATAAAAAATGATATACTATTATATTAATAATTATGTGAGGTGTTTACAAAAATTTATAAAATTTTTAACTACTCAACTTAAATTTAATTAAATGTTTTCATCTGTTCTCTTTAGACAACTTTTTTTTATTTTTTTAATTTGAACAGAATTTTTACTGAATTTTCAGCTATTTTAAAATGTAAAATTTTTCATAAAAACATATGTAATGTTTATTTAATAAACAACTAAATATATTGATAGTTGTTTAAGGTTTTTAGAAAAATGTATAAAATTCTTAACTACTCAACTTAATTTTGATTAAATGTTTTCATCTATTCTTTTTAGACAACGTTTATTTAAACAGAATTTTAACTGAATTTTTAGCTATTTTAAAATGTAAAATTTCTCATATTAACATATTCAATGTTAATTTAATAAACACCTAAATTTCCTCACTGATTCATCCCTTTCGTACAACATTTATTGCGCCATCAAGCTGAGTGCTTTGAAATTAACATATTTATTGTTTATTAGGGAATGATTTTCATTATTTTCTCATTTCTGACCCACTGTAAGGCACATTTCATCCCATTGAATGGCGGCAACTACTTTGATGCAAAGATCTCGGGCTTCGGTTTCGACTTGGAGTATTGGTTTTTTATGCTCAGACTCAGTTATTTGGCAATTTGTCCGATCGCACATTACGAGTAAAAGAGTTTTTTTTTCCATTTGGTTCGTTGTTGGCATAGTTTTGAAAAAGTATCTTTTATAAGCTGTGTGCGGCGAGCGCATTGCACATTGGCTGAGTTGCTTAGCTGTTAATAGGCTTAAAGTGGTTGAGCAATGGCTGCAATGGCGGCGTCGGCTCGTCTGAGTGGCATTATCCATCAGGCTATTTGCCACGCCTCGTACAACTGAATTAACAATACAACAATAACGACAACAACGCTGGGGGTCAACTGGGAATCTTGTCTCAAACGAACTTGGCTAACAAAGTAAACAAATAAACAAGCACAAAATCATAAACAAGCGGCCAATAAATGTTTAGAGTGCAAAAGGCCATAATAATAAAGTTAAATAGAAACACCACACGAAGCAAAAATGAAAAAAAAAAAAAAAAACAATCTAACGTTGAGTTTAATGTGAACAAATTTGTGCGCTAGTCAAGCCAACAACAACAACAACAACAACGACAACAATTATTGCTGCAGTGCCTGCTACTGCCGCTTTTTATGTTGTTCTCGGGGTCGCTTAGCATTTTTTTTTTTTTTTTTAGTGTCAGCCATTAGCCAAAATATGAGCGGCAAAGCAACGAGCTACCCGGACTGAGTAGATTAAATAAGTTAGCTAACAAATTTATGCAGGTCTTACAAACACGGCGATCAAGTGGTATTGGCGGAAAAGCGGGCGCACATAGAAAATCTAATAGATTAATTATGAAAAACATTTTGAAGTGCATATAAATAAGAGACACTAAATGAGTTGCAGATATAATATATATGGTTGCCTGGATGATATTAAATTAAATAAATCTGCTGGCTTGAATTCCACCGTCCATTTTTTTTTTTTAATTTATTTAATTTTTTTTTAAATTTCAATTCCAATTTGACAAGCTTAAAGCAAGCAAAAAAAAAAAAAAAAAAATTGGTTTTCACAACTACCTGAAAATAATATTATTTCTTTGACTACATATTTAAAATATGGGCATTTCATATATCTCCGAGTTTTTCTAAAAATAATTGTTTGAGCATAAAATTGCAAATATCTTGCATATATGTATATGTGAAATTGAATTTGTTAGTTATTTCAAAAACAAATAAAAAAAAATACATTAAAATTAAATTAAATTCAATTTGAATTAAAAAAAAAAATATATGAAAATTTGTAGTTGTTGCAATATCTTGTTTTTTAGTTTTTTTTTTTTTACTAATCTAATAATTTTCATTTTTTCTTTAAAATCTAAATATTAAATGTGATTAAAATAACTAGAGCTGGAATTACAAAAAATTATTTTATATAATTTGCAAAATTTTGTGGAGTTTTTTACTGGAATAAAAATTATTAAAATTAAATAATTATAAAAAATATATTTGTTAACATAAAACAAAATAAAAAACGAATTAACACATTTCTAATTACAAATAAACTTCCCATTTTATGGCACAAAATTTAAATAGCTTTAAATATGCTAATAGTAAGATAGTCAATAGCCAAACCAACCAAGTGGCCTAATATGTATTTAAGACGTAGTTGAAATAAGCCAAAGATGAGCAAGACTATTGTTTTTGTCGATATATTTGATGTATTCAAAATACAAACAAAGAATATCTGAAACATGTTCACTAAAACCTGGGTGCTTAGTTATTTATGCAGCATCATGTGTTGGGGGAGCTTATCTAAATGCACACGTTTTTCTAATCAATTAACTGAAATCTGAGACGAGCCAAAAACGCATTGTGTGTTTTTTTCTTTTTTTTGGTTTTTCTAATATCTCCGCCGCAAGTTACACAAAACGAGGCAACAACAACAACAAAACTCTAAAGTTGCGCGAGTCGTGTCAAAAATTGCTTTGTATTTTATTATAGTATTTCTTTTCGTTGTTGTTGTACTTTTTCTTATTTTCGATTTTTGTTGATGCATTGTTTGAGCGATTTGTTTGAATTTTGCCGACCGGCGACGATTGGAAACTTGGAACTTGGGCAGATGTGTCTCGCCATTGCCTGGGTCCGAAGGGGTCCAAAGGGGTCCGATTGACTGTGTCTTGAGTTGGGTTGGCTTTGGCTGGCTTGGCATTTTATCCAGTCACGCTGCAAGTTATTTGCGTCGTGCCCAAGAAGTGCTCTGTTCTCTGTTATTATGCCAGCCGGTTCCATCATCAGTGCCATCGTGAGGAATAACGCTTGCCTCTGCAGTTTCTGGCCCTGGTAACTCGAGCTTTCATTTTGATTTATGCAGTTGGCAACAGAAATTGTTGCGCTTGCCCTAACCAAAAGGGTATATTGGGCTACAGATGTTGTTTGTAAAATTTTTAATGTGAAAATTTGTGTGTGAAGTGGGAAATAGAGCTGATATGTGTTTAATTATTGCATAACTTATTTAAATATTAAAATTTATTATTAAAATAATAATATTTCAATTTTTTAATGAAATAATTTATGATCTCTTTATGTCTTGCATATGATTTTGGACATACTACTAAATAAATTTAAAATTATTATAAAAGTGCATTCATACGTCTAGAATCTTATATACTCTTTCTTTTATGATTATTTTAGACACAATATAATTATACAGAAATGAATTTAAATATTTATAAAATTGTATTTTTACGACGATTATTTTCCAATTTGGTCTTTAATTTTATATATTATATTTATTTATTTATATATATTTTTTTTAATTATTGTCCAATCTTAGATGTAATAATTTATTATTTAAATATTTATAAAACTGTATTTATACGTCGACTACATTTCAATTACGTCTTTATTTAAATAAACATTTTTTTTTTTTTTTTTGCATTTCTGGCTGATTTAGTTTTGTATGTTTATATGATATGAAATCCACTTGATGCTGCACTTGTTGAATTTTGATATGTTGTGGGAAAGTTGTTAAATGGGTTCCCAATTATTCTTGAGTTGCACATATTTGTGGCAGCAGCTGGCCAAAATGTATGCATAAATATTGATGCTCATTTCGTATACAGCAGCTGCCTGAGATTGTCTTATTTTTATTTTTTTTTATATAATAATATCTCAGTAGCTGCCCTGCCATGTTTTGAGCCAGCAATTTGCAAGTAATTCAAGTCGAGTTTTATTTTGTTGTTTGTTTGAATGAATGAATGAATGAAATCGAGGTGGCCTTGGAGACAACTTCCGTTGTTTGGCAGCGAGTGAGTGCCAATTGTGAGAGTCACTTGTCGACGCGTTGTCTATTGTGTAGATACATATGTCGGAATAGCACTCTACACTCATCAGCTTAATGTCCATTTATAATTGGTCGACTGAAGGCTGCGCTCCATTGTCGTGAAATTCGCTCAGTGTAATGAGCACTCGTAACCGTAATGGCATAATTATAATGCCCCCAGGCCCAATTCCAAGTGTTGAAAAAAACAACAACAAAAAATACTTCAGTTTTGCCTGCGGTCCATTTCGTGTTGCGGTCAAGTGTCTCGATGATTATGTACAAAGTGTTTGCATGCGCTTTGAGGCTCTAGTTCTAGGAGTGGAAGTATCTATTACAGCACTTTAGACATATTGAAAAGGTACAAATGCCTTATGGGAAACTCATTCTCTTTGACGATCAGATATTTTGATATCATATCATGGCATGCATCCCTTTGTCCTACGCCTCTGTGTGGAACAGGTTTTCGGACTTACTGCGAACTGTCAACGAGGTTCTACGTATTCACAACTCATTATTTACACTCGACATAGTTGCTATTTTTGGGCTATCGAATTTCAGTTATTTCTGCTCGGTTCTGTTCTCACTGCCTCGTTTGCATATGACACAAATACGATTTCCAGATTCCACCACAGAGCTGAACAAAATTATGTTTTCTGTTTTTGTTTTCTGAGCGTGTCTTATGACCAAAGACGACTGGCGTTTAAAATATTTACAAGTTGTCACCATTTCGGGGCAATTCGTTTGGCCTCCAAATATTTGCATATACAACACGTATTTATTTATTGACGGCCTCTAGAAACGTTCCACCTGCTCAATAAGCCGATCTCAAGCTAAGCTGGCCAACTGCGCAGCAGCAGAAAAAATAACAAATCAAAAAATCGATTTCAACTCGGAAATTGTTATGAGTAAATTTAGTTTTTTATTTCTTATTTTTTGCTTTTGTTTATGCCCTCACGACTGGCCGGTAATAATGAAAAAAAGGAAGCAAAAACACATTTTCTGGAGTCGACGTCATCGATTGCCGCGGCACCTCTCAATTGAAATTTGCAACTCACTTTCACCAACATGCATTTGAAATTTGAAATTCAATTACGGAGCCCAGTACGCCCAGGTCTTAAAAGTCGCTTCAACTTATCGCCGGCGGGCAATCAATGCAAAGAGCGTAAATGTTTATTAATTGGCGGCAAGCGGGCAAAAGCCAAATGCAACTTTTGCAAAACGGGTATACACGACTAGGAGCTATCCAGTAATTGAGCAGTAATGAGTATAGATGAAACTTATATAAAGAAACTATTACTGCATTGCAGTTGAGGCAATTTTTTTATTCATTCATTTTTTTTTTCAAAAATTTTTTAATTCAAAAATTAAAATTTTTTATTTTTCGACTTATTTTTTAAAAAACTTTTTGACCTATAAAAAAGTTTTGATAATTTTAAAATATTTTAATTTTATTTGATTTCAATCGTTTTATTAATTTTTATTATCAAAATTTTAAATAAATTAATTATCTAAAATTATTTCAATAATTTATTATATTTTTTATTATTAAAATAATTTTAAATAATTAATCAATTTTAAATTTTGATAAATGTAATAAAATAATAATTTTAATAATTAAATAATAATTTAAATATTTTAAAAATTATATTAATAATATAAGATTTTATAAAAAAAAAAAATGAATTAATAAACATTTTGATGAACAATTTTAAAATCATATTAATGTTTTATCATATTTAAAGAAACTTTAATAATATAAGAAATGATTAGATTAGCAATTGTTGGTTTTATTAATAATAAATTAATGAAAAAGCTTTTCTTGTTCTCCAAATGCCTTCAAATACCCTGTATATTTGACATTTAGCAGTTTAGTCATCTGAATTGTCAGCATGTTCGAAATCGATTAATTAGCAAATAGCGTAATGCGAATATATAAACTTTTTTTATTATATACAACGTGCATCATCTATTAACAATTTAATGGGAACTAGTTATAAAATTCACAGGCGAGCAGAGCAACAGAGAGTAAGGAGTTGCTGAAGGTAAGTGTATGCAATGCATGTGCCGTGCCTAATGAAGCGGCGTCATCGCATCACAAGCTGCGACATATGCAAATAGCGTATACGCCCCGCAGCTCAAAGCGTTAGCCAAATGCCGTAGCTGAGTGTAACAGCATTTAGTTCAGCTTTGTGGCTGTCTGTAATCAGCGCTCAGTGCTAAATTGTTTGTGCCATGATGCAATAAGCGGATTTGTCTCTGCTTTACAGTCCAGAGGCGTGCGATTGAACTGGCAGCGGATCGGTCAATGCGATAATTGACAAATAGTCCGAGCTGAGCTGAGCTGGCAAATGTGCTCCGACTGTGGGTGGGCAGGTCGAGCGATGATCATGACTGAGATGATTGAGCTGGAGAGCTGTTCACCTTTTGCTAGCCTAGTCCACGTTCGATTGTAATCAACTCGAATACTATATTTATGCCGCCTGCCCCACGGCTGTCGCAGCTGGCTTCACTGTACAGCATATCATAATTTACGGCTTTGCAGGGTAGCCGGGCAACCGGGCAACCGGGCAGGCGTCAGGCCTCAGCGCACGCGTTTATTCTGTTTTCGATTATGCGCCTCATGGCATTTGGCAGTCATAAGCTGGCGATTGGGTCGCCGGCCTTGATGGCAGCCGCCTTTGGCGTTTGTATCTTGCGCCTGCATCTTGTATCTTGTATCTTGTATCGCGCTGGCCGCCGTTTGCTGACCACATGGGGCGGCAGCAGGAAATTTGTTAGCCTGCCATAAACAGCGCCGAAACGTATAAATTATAAATTATGATTGCAACGGGCCGCGACTAGACGCTTATCGATATGCAAAAAAATAAACGCGGGCATAAATGAAAATGAGAGAGAGAGAGAGAGAGAGAGAGAGAGATGAATAATGAAAAAACGAAGCAAATCCCAGCTCGTTGGTCTAGCGGGCGAAAGTGTTGAGTGATGTTCTAGCAAAACGTTTTCAACAGCCGCCCAGCGGCCAAAAGCAATTTCTTTTAATTAATTTCCAACAACGATGTGAGCCGCTCTGTCGTCTAGACGCAGCCAGCCAGACAACAACTCGAAATACTTCACACGCCGACGCTCGAACCGTGTGACAGGTGCTGATTGAAATGACCCCAAAAGAGCGAGACATCGCTCTAAGTGGAAATCAAGATGGAGCTGCCTTTCACACTTGTGCGGAAAACAAGCGTAAATACTGTGCACACAAACAAATTAAATGCCTGCAACAAAAAAACTATGAAAAAGACGAGAAATTTACATTTGATTTATTTCAATAACCAAAACATTCACTTTACAATTTAATTCCCTTCAATGCAATTCATTTGGCTTGAGCTTAGGAGAACAAATCTTTAACTGCGTCGACAGCATCGTTCTAAAAAATATATATATTAAATATCTTTATATAGTATATATATTCTATATGGTTTATGCTGAATGCCAACTTACAAAGGTATCCTTAATACTGTCCCATAGATCACCGTTGGCCACATCCGCATTGACAGCCAACAGGATAACCGTTAAAATTAGTAAACCGTTGTAATTCATATTGAAATCGCGCTTTTACTTCTTTCTTTTCTTTTTTTTTTTTTTGTACAATTTTCGATGATGCAGATGCTGCTGGAATTATACGACTGTCGTCTTATCTGGTTGGCGTATAAATAAGTAGCTTTACAGACGCAACGCAGCTGATAACGCTCAATTTGCCAAAAAAAAAAAAAAATTAGAATTTGTGTTTTAGATTTATAGAATATGAAATACTCTGAATGCGAGATAAAATAAGAATCTGAATAAGAGTTTGAAAACTTGTTTAAAGATTTAAAATAAAATAAATATTGAAAATAATTCAAATCATTTTTTTTTAACTACTCAAGCTTGAGATAAAAGTAGCTAATACTTATAAAATAATGTAAATACTAAATTAAATGCATATTTACAAAAAATATATTTAACTCTTATTTTCATTATTATATTATTATTATTTGAAGCAATCAGTTAATGAAAATTAACTGGCTTACTTAAAAATAAATAATAATCAATATTTTCAACAACTTAAATTTTCTATTTAACAAAAAAAAAAAAAAAAAAAAAAAAAAAAAAAAAATAAATAAATAAAATAAAATAAAAATAATAATAATAATAATAATAATAATAATATTAATAATAATAAATAATGAAAATAAAAGTTAAATATAGTTTTAAAAAAATATACATTTAATTTAATATTTACATTATTTTCAACAACTAAAGCTTTGGCATTTTCATGATGCACATATAGTCTCCTATGCTATTGCAGTGTATCATTCTAATAGTTGTTTATTCCAAACTTGACTCCAGCATTCTTGTCTTCCATTTCCATTAGCAAACAAAGCAGAGTACAGCAATTGCTCATAAATGTGCTTTACATATATGTATGTGTATATGTATATATACTTAATCAGCTTAATATGTTGCTTCTTTTATAAGAAATGTTGTTCATATTGGGTATGCCCGACGACCAAATACTTAATAACTAAAAGTTGTACATATACATATTTATATAAATTTCCATTACTTCAAACATCAAGTCAGATTCGTCTTTTTAGTTCTGCGAAAAGAAATCTTGAGCAAAGATTTTATCCTGGAATGCATTTATTAGAGATTATTTATTTATCTATTTAGAAAATTATAACTTACGAGATCTTTTCCCATATCATCGACTTCATTGCCTGACTTTTCCTGTATTAAAATGTTCTCATGAAATATGTTGACAGACTTCTTATATATATTCTACTTACAACTTCTGCACCAATATCGTTTATCCAATTTGCATAGGCTTGAGCCATGTTTATGGCCAGGAATAAAGCCCATAAGGCTAAAAATCTGAGAGAGTTCATCTTGAAGTGAAATGTTGCTTTTCCTGTTGCTGCTGCAGTTGAACTACTGAAATGATCGCATGAGCTGTGACTTTTATATGAGATGCGATCAGAGATTAGTACCGGTTTAGATTCTGATTGGGATTTCCCCATCAGATAAGGGCATATGAATTCATTTTGCAATCGGATGTGATTGACTGTTTAATACTGGCTCAACGTTTGAAGAGCTGTCTAGCTTATAAGGGGCCTCTTTCAAATTGTGTGAATCCAATAAAACGAGAAAACATATTCCACATTTAAAGACTCTTTGGAATTGACTGATTATGGAATATACTTTTTTGAATCCTTGTCTGATATATAAAATTAAAGAAAATTTCTAGAGTCTACTGTTATTTTGCTTAGAGCTGCAAAAATTCTATTTGATAATTAATTTATTCTGTTGAATTATAAACCATTGAAAGGTATAATTTTTTGTATGATTTGAAATTTGAAAAATTTTAATTTTAGCTTTCTTATTCATTATTATATATATTTTATTTTAATTTTATTATTCATAATTTAGTATTTTTTTTTATTTTTATTATTGAAAAATTATTTTAGCATTATTATTCTTATTATTATTCTGATTAGCAAAGTCTCTAAGTAATAAATTGTATTATAGGGAAAAATATTAATTATTTAGACATATAAAATTTTAATAAAAATATTGCTTGTTAAGAACTTTTTCAATGCGACAGTCATTCAGTTGACATTCGCTGGACAACTTTATTAAAGCCCCAAGCTAACTTACAAGCCACACAGTAGTCCATTGCTCTGCGGGGCTTCTGTGAAAAAAACGTCGAGTCGCACAAGTTGTAAAATCTAAACAGAAAAAAAAATTAAAAATGACAAACGCCATAAAAAAAAAGTGATCCACGCCGGCGGTCAAGCAGGCACATAAAAAAATAACCAACAAGTAAAAAAAAAAAAAAAAAAAAATTAATGACTTCCAAGCAAGGCGGCAACAATTTAAACAATACAAAATTACATTATCCACAACACATCAATAAAACATTTTCTTGTTGACTTCGATATCTGGAGAACTGGAGAGCTTGAGACCTGGAGAATTGAGACCCGCAGAGGCCTCGGGCACCGGCTCAGCCAGCTATCATGGCGAAAAATCGATTGGGTGTGACGCATAAATAATTGCAGTCATTTATTGAAACATTTATTGCGGTGTCCGCAATGAGATTTCCATGTGCAGAAATCTCTAACGCATAATTAAAAGCCACGAAGTCCGCAGGCCAAACTTGTTTATGAAATCATAGATACATATACCAAAAATACGATACGATACGATATATGAATGCGAATTATAACCGGCTCACTTATCTCTTTCGAATCGGGTTTCTGTGCTTTTTTAATATTTATTCTGCCAATAAGTCGCAGCTAATTTGTATCTACGTCTCGGCTCGAGGGTCGCGACAATTAATAAGCAACGAAATTTCATGGAGCATGAAATTTTGCTGTTAGCTCATTAACAGTTCGGCGAACCAACTTCAAATTTCAAGCATTTTAATATATTCATTCCGACGTGCTTCCATCGAACGAACACATTAGCATAAATTTAAAAACAAACACATAAATCAATATGCAACTGACTAAAGCGTTTGCCTTCAAATAATGAAGAAATAAAAACAATTTCATGGACTAGTTGCAGTTCAATAGACGCCAAGCTGATAACCGACGTGACATGGAAATCTATTGGAAATATTAAGCATCGCCTATAAGGCGGCAATTGTGTAAATAGAGAGCCATAATGAGCCATTCATTGATAATTATTATTGCGGCTGTAGGCAAACAATTCAGTTTCATTTACAATTTGAACATGAAATTGACATAGCTGAGGCTTTGTGTCCGACGAGATGAACAGAAAGTTGTCTTAGTATTTTATTTATAGATATTTACATAGAGAGGAAAATACTAGATGTAATTTATAGGAAGTCAATATATTAAAGTTGCTTATGAATACTTCGAATAGCAATATGATGCTGGGCTTAATATGAATAGTAATTAATATGAAACTAAATATTATTATTGCCGTTTTATTAATTCTAGTAGTAATTTGATTTAATAAAAATGAACTGTTTTTAAAATAATCATAAAATCTTTTAAATTTAACCATATGTTTGTTAACGCTACTTTGACATAAAATATAAATATTATAAATATATAATAATATATATAAATATATAACAATATATTCCAAAAGGTTTCATTTATGCCTGAGTCAAAATATATATAATCTACCCATATTATATATAATACAGTACACATTGGCTATAGCAACAGCGACCACAATTTTGTTTTCTTTGTATAATATTTTTATTCATTATTTAAACGATTTTTTATTAAACATACATTTTATTCATTCAAGTAATAATTTTGCAATAAATATAGATGTAAAGATCTTTTTGTTATTTTTTTTTTTTTACTTTGATAAACATTGAGTGAGTTGTTAAATACAATCAGCTACGATGTGAAAATTTGCGCTGCTCCTTTGTTTACTAAACATTTTACTGAGCTATAAATAGCTCCTAAAATGTTTACATTTTAATAACATAAGAGCTCAATATGTCAGTTAGCTAATAACAATGTCGGTTATCTTTTTTTCCAAACTGATTTTAATCAATGAATGAAATTTGAAAATAAACTGTCAAAGTGCTTGTTGTCTATATTAATTGTTTCTATTGTTTTTAGTAGTCAATAAATTTATATTTATTTGATGCTGGAATATATTTTGATATATTAATGTGTGTATATATATATTTAAAAAAAATAAATTTATTTAAAATATATGTTTGAATATTTTGCTATATTTATACGTGTATATTTATTTTTGTTTTACGCATATATTGTATATAATATATATATATTATATTTTGTTTTGTTTTGTGTATATATTTATATCTAAAAAAATTTTTTCTTTTTACATATATTTAAAATATGTTTTTGAAGACTTTACTATATTTATGTGAATAAATAAATAAGAAAAATATTTTCATTTATTTAAAATATAATTTCAAATGCAAAGTTGTTCTTCAGCCTCAAATGTGTAAACATCAAGGGCTCTTGGCACATTGTTATGTTAACGGTGTCTATTGTAGTGCGTGTACTGACAGACTGCATGACATGCAGTTTGACACCTTGTAATGACTGAAAGTGTTTGGGTGTTATCTTATCGCTGCTTGTCATGTGTGTGTGTGTGTGAGTGTGTGTGTGTGTGTTTGTGTGAGTGTGTGTGCTACACATGCTTTTTATTTTTTGGGGGCAACAATAACATTTTGCTGTCGAGCGCTTGCATTGGGAAGTAGTTGGCGTCAATTCTTGTTGTTCTTGTTTTTATTGGATTTACTTTGCCGTTTCTGTTTACAAAGTGGGCGAATGCACTCGATTCTTGCAGCAATATTTACTCATGGCACATATGTATGTATGTATGATATAGACAAAGTTGTCTGATGACTTTGCTAATTAAAATTGAGCGACTCGATAATTATGCTGTTACATTGTCTCTAACAAATAGTAATTTTGAGTTGTTGCTGATATATATAAACGCAATGACTTTGCATGGCCTGCAACATGAAACATCAAAGTGAACTCTGGCTCCGTTGCCAGCCCTACGACAGGCAGGCGACACCTTTTGGCTTCATCAATCATTTTTATGTGCATTGAAGGCGCAAAAGAATCAACCATATCGACGCTTCTGTGGCCAGCCTTTCAAATGGGTGTGCACACCGAGAGAGGGAGAGAGAGAGAGGGAGAGAAAGAAAGAGAGAGTGGGGGATATATAGATACTCTCAGCTAGCTGTAAGCGCTTATCGGGCATGACGCTTGTTTAGGTGTTTCCAACAGGTTACGACGACGCCGACTCTGGCGAACTGTTCAACTGGTTTGCTGAGCTGCTGCTGCTGCTGCTGTTTATATTTATTAATTATCGTATCGATAATTCTACCATTTGTGAGCTGAGCTTCGAGTTGGCTCAAAAGCAAAAATCAAATGAGAGAAGAAGAAAAAACACCAAAACACAACAAAGTTCTGTCGTGCTGCTCTTTGTGGCCGTCAGCAAGCAAAATAAAAGAAATAGAAATAAAAAGCAATATATAAAAGCAAATACACACACACACACACAGATACAAGACAAATACATATGCATACAGAGCATAAAGTTTAGCGGCAACTCGTAAAGTTTTTCTCTGCCGCATTTCAGTTCGATTCGAGCGATTTTCGAGCGCGGAGCGTTGCGTTGCCTCGTTCACGTTGAACTAAAACCGAAATAACACTAAATAAATAATATAAAAAAGCAGAAAAAACATTTTTACAAAATAAATCGTTTTGTGTTTGTGAAGTGTGTAACGGCGCTGAGTCAGCCGAGAGTGCAGCAAGTGAATAATAATAATAGTTCATGCAATGTGCTTTCTAGTGCCCGGATTCGCATTCAAATCTGAAGTGAACGTTGTCGCCATGGCGTGGCGTTTCGCTGCCAATCAAATTTAATTAATTTCGGGCATAGAATTCCCATTTGGCCAAGAATAGCGTGCATGCCAATTAATTAGCCAGCTGACTCGAAGCGAAGCCATTCAGCATGAGTGTGAGTCTTGGTGATATTGGTATCGGAGTGGGTAGTTTACCTGGCGATTTGCTGTCGTACGATGAGTCAAAGTTTGCCCAAAAGCTAACGCACCTGACACCCACGGAACAGGAAGCCGTCAAGCGTTTTTGGAGGTAATACTGATAAGCAGATAAATATATTGTGCGTTGGTCTCCCCACTAGGTCCACATTGAGGCCGGAAAGTCTAATTAATTGGGCGCTGTTTAGAGATTAAAGATCGCTCGTTAGACACATTCAATGTGGCGGCTGCGACGCCTCTCCACGTGGGTGTGAGTTAAAGGTGTGAGTGTGAGTTCAAACTAGACCCACAAAAGTGCCAAGATGTGGCTAACAAAGCGAACCGCTTAAACATACAAATCAAATGTGACATAGTCCCAAGCTAATTGCTCAGAGGTGATAATGAAAAACCTGTTATGCGGCTTAAAGCAAAATGCCAAAAACTTTGATAAATTGATTGCTTAAATAGATTTTTTTTTTTATCAAAATCAAGCAAGACTTTAAAATATGCAATTTTTAAAAGCATTTCAGCGTATGTTGGATTTAAAATAGGTTTTGACAGCTTTATGAAACTACGAAAATTGAATAAATAAATATAAACAAAAATTTGTAGACTGTTTTGAATGAAATTCTTGATATATTTGTTATGTTTTATTGAAATTATTGATATATATTTTATAAAATAACTAATAAAACTTTTTGTTGTAAACAATTTTTGTTTAGATATATAAAATATTATTATTAAAAAATTAGTATTATTATGTAAGCATTAATAAGGAAAGAATATAATTATTTAAGTTACATGAAATACATTATTATTAAAAATAATAATAGTAAAAAATATAATAAATAAATAATATAATAAAATATAATATAAAATTTGTAAAAAAAAGAAACAACAAATTTAAGCAAAAAACTTTGCTCGAAATGAAAAACTATTGAAAGTAAATAAAGTCATATAAATAAAATTGCAAAATGAATAATACATTTTGTAATTTTTTTTTTTTACAAACAACTTTAAGACATTATTTAATTTAAATTTGTTTTATTTTATTAATTTTTTTTTTTTTTTAACCTTTTTTAGAAATAATAACAACATTGAATGCGAATTTGACAATTATGTATTTTTTGCTATATTATTTTCAAAGTTTCTCATAAAATATGTTTTGATTTGTAATTGAACATATGTACTGAAATACCACAGAAGCTGTCAATCAACTATTTTTTGTTGGTCCGCGTGCAAAAAGTTGAGCAAAGCCTGTGAAAACGCGCGTAGAACGCGTGTAAAACGCACAGGAAACGCGTGTAAGCTCTGGTGCACAAATATTTGTTTGGCTATTGACAACTGTTCAAATAGAACTTATCTATACGATTTATAAATAAATCAATGCCTTGGCTTTGTTAGCCAAGGGGCTGAAGGCAGCTGTCGCATAGAATGCAGCAAAAATGCGCTGTGCAGATGCGTAGATACACAGATACTAAGTTGAGGCGCAGATACAGATACGGATACAGATACTGAGACACTGAGCACACTTGCACACTGGGTGCACTGCTGCAGCAGTTGCTCGACACAGGAAAATTATAATAAAATATATCAAGCTGTCAACATTTTGAGTTTTGCCTGCGGCCCCTTTTGTTCTCATTGTTGTCATTGTTGTTGTTGGTGTTGTTGTTGCTGTTGTCGTCGGTATTTTGAAACATCTTTGAAACTATGCGTGCCACAAAATCCACAATAATCTGTTTGCCATGCCATCAAGCACAAGGGTCTGCGACTATTTCATCATTTCAGGCACTCATTAGTGAACTTCGCTCTCCCCTTTAGCTGCAGCCCCACCATTTAGAATATATACATATACATTTCTTTTTTTTTTTTTCCTGGAAAATTGTACATGCGTGCAGCATTTCTCATTTTCATTTGTTTCAACGGAAGCTGCAATTATTTATAATTTGTTGTTTTTACTTTGGCTTGGCCAAGTCCTCTAACCTGATGCAATTAGTCCCAAAAATGGGACTTGTATGTGAGTGAAGGGGGGGTAGACTCAGCCAGCGGGCATATCTTATTAAATTAATTGCCTGTCATGTTGCTCCACGCTTTCGGCAGCAACAACAAGCAGAACAGCAACAACAATGTTTGCTGAATATTAAAATAAAATAAACAAATCATGTTGAAAGCCGTCTTGCGATTTGCTGCCATAATTTTGTTCACATTGCGCTTATTTCGATTCCAAAATTTATGTAAAATGAAAATTTATGCGTCAACTGATTTATGCGGTTTTCCGTATCGCATGCATGACATCGCCATAGAGCCACAGACCCATAGAGGCCGCCTCCCCCGCAGCTGATCATCAGCTACTCCCCCCTCGCCCAGTCTGTCAAGTTGCATCCATGTGCGACGAGCGACGAGCGACGAACGACGAACGACGGCGTCGCTTATTTTTGGAGCGCAGTCCAAATTAATATGTGTGTTTATGATTATGATACACGTATCATTATGCTTACACATAAATTTGTCTTTGCCTCCGAGCTGGGGGAATAACAACATTGTCAAGCAATCGACTAAGACTCTCTGAAGGAGGAAAAATCTCTGTGTATATGTCGAGACGTCATATCGGAGCATAAACACAAATCCAAGTCTGTCTGTAATATATTTTTATTAGCTCTTCTTTTCGAATAGTTGGATTATGCAATATTTATGTAAGAGAAAATTGTTGAATGTATTTTCCTAAGTGAAAATTGTTGTTAAGAAAATTGTTTGGCATATATAGAAAATATAAAATGCAAATGGGAATTTCTAAAATTATTTCTAGGTTGGTTATTGGAGCGAATAAAATAATGCAATCCGTGATGACTTTGCTTTTATATGTTTAAGATTTTCATACTTCGGACTTAACACGTTAAATTGTATTTCAATTTCAATTTAATTCACTAACTACAGATTTTTGTGAATGGTATTTTACAATAATTTAAGAGTTTAGACTGAGAAATAGGCCTTTTCTACATTTATATTTATTTAACTGTTTTATTTTTAATTAATTTAATTATTTTTTTTAATTATGTATTTATAATAATCTTATTTTTAAGACTATATTTTCCAGGGTAGCTTTAAAATTTAATATTATTTAAAATCAAATCACTTCAGTTTACATGAGCTAATTATTTAGCTTTATATAAGTAAATAAACTATCATTGCAATTGCTAAAAGTTTATTTCTATTTTGCATTTCCCATAATAAATTCTTTTCTTTACTCCATTTGCAGGTCACTCGTTTTGCGGAGTCAACGCGCCTTCATTGAGGAAAATGGTACGTAAAGCGGCTGGGGCTGGGCGTGGGTTTTTATTTGGCCATAAAATCGCGGCTTAAGCCCACATGAGTGCCACTCTGGTGGAATTGAATGTGGGTCAACTTGACGCCCGCACAGAGCACAGAGATTGGCGATGACGGCGGCAACACCCACCCACCGTTCATAAAAATGGCAATGTCTTTGCTCTGCGTCAATTTGTCGCAGCAACAGCAACAACAACAGCAGCCGCAGCGGCAAACTGCAACTCTCAGATTGGCATCGGCTGCACATGCAGGAATCAAGGCACTTTCCAGTGTCCATTGGCAGTGTCGTGAAAGAGAGTCAGCTGGCTTTGACGACAGTCAAAGTCGATTACGCCTCCAGGCGATATTTGCAATTCCACAAAATTTGGCCGCACAAAAATTCGCATTTGACTTTTAATTAAGCCCGAGAGCCAGAGCCGGTTTTTGGGCTCTGATTGATATAGATGGAGTTTATTCATTATTCATTCATTCATTTGGCTATGGCCAACTTATGACAGCGGATGTGAGTTGACGTTTTTGGGTGTGTGGGCGTGGCCGGTTTGCAGGCGTTAATTGAGCCAATTAAATACGAAATGTAAATGCCAGCCGAGTACGAGCCAAGTCTGTGCCAAATTGGGCTCATTAGCCACACGCAGTTTACAATATTTTTAGTATTTTCTTTTTCTTTTCGTTTTTATTTACATTTTCATTTCGTTGCGTTTACACATAAAATTTATGACACGTGGAGAATCATAATCAAGAAAATAATAATAGCAGCCAGAGCCAAGAAGCCGTGCATTAATTGGATAATCAAATGCATAGAAAATAACCATAAATTGGCCCACCGAGTCGTTCCGTGGGGAGCACTTTAAAGCAAATCAAAGCGAAGACCTGGGCGAACAACTGCAGCAATTAAGCAAAAATAGCTGATGCACTAAAAAGAGAGAGAGAGTCATTTAAATTGACAGATCATGAGGATATTTATTTATTTTTTAAAAGGTCTTTATAGGCTCCTTTAACTGTTATATGAGCTTATAAAAGTGGGTGATCAACGTCTGATTTGGCTTTTGGTTGACCAATCAGCTTTATAGTTGGGCGCCTATAAAATCTTAACTGTTGCCAACGAAATTTATTTATTATGTGAAGTTTTTTATTTATATTATTTAAGAGTTGATATGAAGTAAACATAGTGCCATTAAATAATGATTTAAAAGAAGCCTATAATTATGTGATGTCTACGACTATGCTGTATAGTCTGTGTAGCCTATTTATTATTATTACTCTTTATATCTTTTATATACATGTAAGCCAGACTTTATATCAGCTTTCATATAAGAACATTAGCATTCAGATTTCTTGTAAAAGATATGATATTCTTATATATTCATGGTATATTCCAAGTCATTAATTTGATTGACTATTGATTAAAGTGCTATAAACTCTGATTTGCGCACAATTTAGATAATCCACATCTACATTGATCAAAGTATTTGTTTACATTAAATTATTATATATTTCTTCCTTCTCGGTTGCTCCTAAAATTCCTAATTCATTAGCTCATTTGTATATTGTATATATGTATGTAATGGAACTTTTAAGGAGGTAATTATCGCTCTTTGAGCTCTCTGAGCTGCCTTTGCTCGTCCTCCTTGTGTTTGCTCTCCCTCTGCTCGCTGTTTCTCTGATTACTTACTGATTGAAGGCACTGTTAAGTAGAACGCTGTTGCGATTTTGTGAATCCTAATATCAGAAGAAGAAAGCCGCAAGTCTCTTAAAATTCCAAGAAAAGCATGATATAAGAATATAATATAATGACAATATAGCATATTTTTAATCTTTAGTAAATTAGAAAATAAATCTTAATAAATGATAAATAATAATTCACTGCCATAGAATGATAAAAAAGGGAACTTTAGGTCCTATACAGTAACGACCTGCCTTTGAGTTAATTAGTATAATTAGCCATAAAAATTCAGATTCCTTTCTTTTGCTCAAATTTTCTTAAAAAAAAAAAACAAAAAAAAAAACAAAAATCATAAAAATAAATAAAATAAATAAATTACCATCGACTGCTTACATAGACCATTTTCACTAGGTATCAATAAAAATAAATTATTGTAGCATTTTCTGAATTTATTTTCCTGCTGCTGTCACTCGAGTCGCGGCATGGAAATTAGATTGTGCAGCGGTTGCACGTGTTTAGCATAATTAAATTTTTGCACTTTACGGCAATTTGTTGTTGTTGTTGTTGCTGTTGTGGTTTGTGTTTTTTTTTTTGCTGTGGTTGGCATTGCACCGTTAGCTTCATTAGCTGCAGCTGCAACAAACGCCTACCCACTACAAATACCGACCCAGACACAGCGTCAGCCCCACTGCTCCAGCATATGTGGCTAAATTGGATGATGTATGTATCAGTCGGACATATGTATTAGTCGGGCAACCAGTTTTAATTTCAGTTTGTTTTTTGCTGCCTCCTTTTCTCTGTGGCTGTCTCTTGGCTGTCGGTCGAAAATTCATTCACAAGCCGGCTTCATTTCGTATGCTGGGCAGACGACGACGTCTTGGTCTGGGTCCGAGACGCCCACACAGAAGATTTAGTCATTACAACTCGATGATGATGATGGCGATGGTGATAATGATGATAATGCCTCGTTTTCGGGGTCTGTCTTGAATACGTTTCGCTGTCACCATTAAGCCAGCCATATCGATGCCCAATTGGAGTCGAAGACGGAGTCGGAGTCAGAGTCTGTCTACGTGCCTGGCCAGAGGCCTGGGCATGCTCGTAATTTACCTTTACTTGCAGCTCAGTTTGTTGCCTGTCCATTGGGCTAATTTCTTAATTTTTATGTGTGCCGAGTGCGCGATTTATGTCATTGTACGAATAAATAGGCGCCTTTTATGGTGCCCCCATAATCGTGTAAATAAAGTTGTTCACGTTGGCCAGCACACAATGTAACGATAACTGATGGAAGGGGCAACCGAAGCTGGCTTTTGGATTATTTACTTTTGAAATGAGTCATTCGTATGAAAAAGGTGATGAATAGAGGATTTGCTAAGTTTTAAGTTAATCTTGGAAATGAATTATTATCATACTGAAAGATTTCTTGATTTGCAAGTTTGCCTAAGATAACAAAATCAAGCAGTGAAATTATTCTATGAGAATCGCAGAGAAGAGTAGTATATAATTTATACTGAAGTTTTTTAGATAATACATTTATATAGGGTATTCGTAAACATAAAGTTTTTGTATCATTTTATTTTATTTTATTTTTTTTCAGCTTTAAATGCTCATAAAACATGAAATTAATAAAAACAATACAAGTTTATAAGACTTAGATTGAAAAATTATAAATTTATTTTCATAAGGGTATATATGAAAATTATTAAATTGTTTCATAACTAGAAGAAATATATATAATCATATATATTGTATTTTCATTTATACATACATTTATTTATTTATATACAGTCGAGTCTCGATAATTCGTACCCCGCTAAATCAAATATAACGATAAATCGAAAAAAATTATATCCTCTTGAAAGAAATTCGTTCTGAATAATTCTTGAAATTTTGAATTTCTTTGTAAATCGAACAAAATCGTATCCCCTTCCCATTTAGAATTATCGGGATTCTACTGTATATACAAAAAAAAAAAAAAAAAACACACATATAAATATGCGTACGTTCAGGTTCTGAAATTGCCTAAAGTCAAATTTATTGATATATATTTCTATACTTATACGTATATTTTTATACATATTTATATTTTTCTATATTTATATAAAAAAATATTTATATATTTCTATATTTACTATTCATCGCCACTATTACCATACAGTTCGGAACGCGAAACCTGATGAAAATTTCAATTTGGTTGACTCTGCGGTTGGCGCTATTAGTTGATTATAAATCAGTCATCAGTCAGTCAAAGCAAAAGTTGTTATACATATATAGATTTGTTTATTCTGTGTTATATGCTAATATCTGCCACATATAAAATGCATAGAATTTGAATACAAATATATATATATAAGCCGATGATCTAAGCGCTTCTATTTGTCAGCTATGCTGGCATGAGCTAAGCAAGACTTTAACTTTCACTGTTTTTGTCGACTTTTAGTGTTTTCTTGTTAGCACCGGCCAAGGTACACATCTCTGGAAAGTGCTAATTATTTGTGGGCTGGTGAGCAGCTGTAAGTGCTGCTTGAGAAATATGGCTAGTATTTAAATAAAAAGCATTGCACTCAGCTCGTTTCACATGCCCATTTACACGTGCCGAGGCACAGCATTTACAACAGTCAATCAAGTGGCGACCATGTTTTGCAATTGAAAACGGCCAACACGCTGACGCGACATAGACAAGCACTTAGCCAGACGAGCCGTTGTTGGCCACCAATTAGGCGACATTAGGCAGACTGCATTCCTCGACGCCCACAAGGCAAACGCAGCACATGCCAAACTCAACTCAAACAGCTGTGATTTCAGTGTGTGTGTGTGTGTGTGTGTGTGTGGGTGTGTGGGTGTCCAATACAGCGATGATAATGAAGCCGGTAAGCAGCGTCATTAACACCACGCCTTCATTTAGGCCTACGCCCCCACCACTGCGATCGACCGTGGCCGTGACTGTGGCTAATTAGCAGTAAAACAAGCGTTGCCACTCAGCTCATCAATATGCAGTTTGTTGGCCTGGTTAGCACTGGAGCAACCTGTCCAAACACTTTCACAAGCGTCGCCCACAGAACGCCCACACAGGCAAAGAGCTGCACGCTTTTTATGAATGAATGAATGCCCACTGAGTGCCGTTGAAAGCGAAACCGAAATCGAATTTCAGCTTTGCAGCCGTCACACATAGATGGCGCCACACGACACCGTGAAGAGCGCTTGATATGCGAGCGCTGTTTAGCTGCCTGATAAGCGCTCTAAATGCTGCGTATCTTATCGCCAATTACAACTAACTGAGTGATGAGCACACCAAGAATTTTGATTCTTTTCCGATCCAGTTGGGTCGAGAACGTGCACACCAAATGGTCGGCCAATCGAAACTGGGCATTTGCTACGCGTATTTCTCAATCTATCGATTTTCTTGGGGCTCGCGACTGGACGAAGGTCAATAGATAATGCTTTGGAATTTCTTATGGTTTGCGGTACTCTGGCTGTTCTATGAGGCAAGAAAGCCTCGGCAGCGCCTATGCGACGCAAGTGAGTGTGGCAGGGAGAGTGAAGTTATAAATTAAAATATATGTATATTAGATATATGTATATTCTTGAGGTGTGGCTGGAATTGCTTATATAGAAATAATAGATAATTTTTTTTTTTTTTTTTATAGTGAGACACAAATTTTCATTTACAGCAAAGATTTAAAAATCCACCGTTATCTCAGTTTTTAAGTTTTTATTTATTTGAATTTTTATTCATTTATATATTTTTTTTACTATTTTTTTTTCTTAATTTAATTTATTGAACATTTATTTTAATGTTAAATATTTATAATTATTATTATTTTTTTTTTTATAAAAAATCTTGTAAATGACGTAAGTAAAATTACGTTCTTTAGTTTCTCTATTCTCAGTTTAATAATAGTAATTATGGAATGAAAATGAAATAATTTCTCATTTGGTTTTAATAAATATCATGTTTAATTGAAAAACAAAAATTACTGAAAATTGCTAGGAGCGCAGCTAATGGGCCCGCATAAAAGGCAAGTCAAGGCTTTCAAATTGCTGTTGACTCGCGTGCATAGTTCGTTATCTAAATTAAGCAAAATTAGTTATTATATGACGCAATTAAGCATAAATATAGCCAACGAATCAGACAAGAGCCAAACAGACGAATCTGTTCTGGGAACTGCGTTTGGGCGCTGCTGCGTTTGTGTTTGCGTCTGCGGCTCCGATTACCAAAAAGCTGAAACGTGTTTTAGAGCAGCGGCAGGTGTGGCTCAGGGACTACCAAATGCCTGCCAAACACAAAAACTAAGCCAGACGCAGACAGAATACACAAAAAAAAAAAAAAAAAGAAGAAAAGAAACCAAAAGAGTCAAAGAGGCTGTGCGTGCGTGTGTGTGTTGCCAATACCAAGAATCAGATGCAGACGAACTCAGACGGACGTGACCTTGATAGTGACATTTAGATACACGTTGTCTGCATTTCAGATACAATTTTTTTGTTTGCGCTGCTCATCCGGTCTCACTGCTTCTCTCTCTTTCTCTCTGCAGCACGTCAATTGCCGGGCAGTGATAGTGGCACCCCGAACTCTACGCTGACCAGGTCGGTGCGCAGCTGCAACTGCTGTCCGTATGGCTACCACATCGACCTGGACTTTGTGCGCTACTGCGAGGCCCTGGCCAATGCCAAGCCCAGCGAGGAGGAGCTGCAGCGACGCGATCGTCGACGCTCGCGCAAGTCGATGGAGTTTATGTTGGGCTTCGAGAGTCTCTTTGGCAGCGACTGGCAGCCGGAAGGCCGTGTGCAGCCCAAGCTAATAGAGGTGAGTCGAATTTGGTGGGCTTTGATCTGCCCGAGGCGCATTTCGCACTTGATTAACTTGTCACCTGTTTACATTTCACAGGCCGCACATGAAAGCGAACCGGATTCGCCACGCCCCGCTGCCGGACAGTCGGCCGGCTATCGGCCGCGCTCGGCGTCGGTGCCACGCTTCAGCTACGGTAGCAGCAGTTTGGCACCGCGCCCCGAGTCGCCCTACGGCACCGCCTCCTCCACCTGCTCCTCGCTGCGCGGCGGCATCGAGAGCGATGCGGGCATCTATCCGTCACCGAGGAGCCAGAGCAATCACAGCTACGGACATGCCCGTCCGGCCGTTAGTCCGCCGGAACGACGCGCCTTCCTCCACGAGGCACTCGACGAAGTCTGCAGCGATTTCGAGCGAACGCTGGAGCGGGCCTCGACCAAGCGGCGCAAGGCGGGCGCCTATAGCTATGCCAACGGCGGCTCCCACTCCACTCCCATGGATCGCAACAACAACAGTCTCAGCCTGAGCCTAAGCCTCAACAATGGCTACGGCTCCAAGGAGGCCAAGGAACGCCGCATGGGCCACAGCACGTGGGATCGTTACTTTGATGTCGCCGCAGGTGAGTGAATATCTCTGAATATCTGCTCGCGTCTAGCGTCTCGAAATAGACGAGGAAATACTCATGGCTGCTCGCTCTGCTCTATTCGGTTCCAATGCTGCATGATTCATAGTCGGCAGACGACTTCACTTGTATCTCTAAGATACTTTTGCTTTTTATTTCGCGATTGCGTTTGCCGTTGCTTTTCTTAGCAATTAGCAACGCCGCCGCGCGTGTGACACTTGAACGCATGAAAGTGTGAAAAATTTTGAACAACTGTTGCAAGCTGTCGAAATCCTGCACAATGGAGCGAATAGAATGAGTAATTGTATTAAAAATATGGCCTACAGTGGTCGTGCAATGAATTTAATTGAAATTTTCTTATATGAAACAATTGCAATTACAGCAGAAATTGCGCTCAAGCGCAAGAAATAATTGCCTTCAATTTTAGTTGGCTATGTTTTTAATTAACTAGCGGGTTTTTTGGGTCTGATTGTCTGACTACAACCACTATAAACATATTTAAGTATGAATACGAAGATCTCTCTTGTGGGATTAGTACCTCTATATATTTAGGTATATATTCGAAGATCAATAGTATTTCTTATATTATTAATTATTTTCGTAAAAACATCTTAGCATATGCTGCTAAATTATATTTATTTCACTTGCAATATATTTTTAATAAAAGTCTTTTCATGCAATAAAGAGATCTCACACAAAAGTTAATATGATGATGCCTTTTCTGGCATTATAATTTGTTGAAATTATGGTTATTCAAAAAAAAAAAAAAAAAAAAAAAAAAAAAAAAAATTAAATAAAAATAAAATAAAAATAAAAAATAAAATAAAACAAATAAATAAATAAAAAAAAATAAATAAATGAAAAATATAAATAATAATAAAAAATAAATAAATAAAAAAAATCAAAAAATTGGTCTACTTCTTTTTATAATTTTTATATAAACAGTATTTATTACATTTAAAAATATCGAAACATGTTTATATTCATATATTATTATTATTATGTTCCTTTTTAATTCAAAGTATTTTCAATACTAAAAAAATAGATATTTGCATAGACAGATTACAAATATTAAATATTAATTGCTAAAAGATATTAAATAATTTTTTTTTTTTAATTTATAAATATAAAAATAAATTATATAACTTGAATATATAATATACATTTTAATTTTCTACGTTTATATTTTCTACATAGGATTTATTTTCATATGATAATTATTAAAATTTATTTTGTTTTTTTTTTTTTTTTTTTTTTTAAATTCAAACAGAAAATGCCTCTTTATTAATTTTTATTAAAAACTGCAAAACATCTGCAGGTCAAACATATATAAAATCCTTTAGAATATATTCCGTCAATCTAATTTATGCTCTCCACTAATTTGAGTGAAGTTTTCACCATCCCATCGTACAGTCATGTTTTTTATAGCGCTGCATAACGCATGAAGCTGTCAACTCGACACGCAAACAGCTCAGATCAAAGCAATATTTAAATGTGCTTCCAAAAAGCGAGCTGCCACGACATAATTCAATTTTATTTTGCGTCGGGCCCCGCCCAGAAAAGTGTCTGGTCTGCCTCCAATCGGGAGACATTAAGCTGCATATAAAGCGTCGAGCTAGCTGCATAGGCAAAGATACATAGATACAGATACTTTATGGCCAGTGCAGATACAATCGCTTTGCATCTTTGGCATTTCAAACTCAATTGGAGTTTACAACCAACTTCAAGGCGATTCGAGGCGTTCGTATCTTAAATCAATTTTGAAATGCGCATTTGGCGCTCAATTTGCATGCAAATGCTGCTAATGTTGTTGTTGTTGTAGTTATTCAGTTGTTTCTTTTATTTGTTTTGTTTTGTGTTTTAAGCTGCTAGCTCGTTTTTCTTGTATTTGTTTATGCCATAAATTTGCCATAAAGTGTGCAAAACGCAATGCAAGAAATTCAGCCGAACATAAACAAATCAAATTGTCGCTTTTTGCTCGCGGACCTTTCAGCTGGCCCAGGAGCATAGAGCTGACATTGATTAATGATAACTGTTGTATAAATATAAATATATATATATTTGTATATGTGATATATGAGCACCTTAATAGCGTTTGCATAGGCTCGTAATAAATGGCTTATAAATTGCGTTTAATCAAATACGCGTTGCCAAAATATTGCTTGCCAAAAAAAAAAAAAAGAAAAGAAATCTTGACAATTGACGCCGAGCTGAGAGACGAGCCCAGCAAACTATCTAATAATAACCAAATGCCAAAATGTTAAAATGAGATATCATGTACATACATGCTAACCTTGAGGCCTAAAGCAAGTCTAGACAAGTACATCGAGAACAATTGAAAATTTGCAAAGTTTGATTCAAGATACTCTCACGAAAGAAAAATTATAGATTATAAATGTTCTGTGTATAATTAGTCAAAGCTCTTTATGAAACTTAGATAAAAAATAAATATAATAAATGTATATGAATATTATATATTTATTTTACATACATATAATAAATATAATAAATATATATGCATGTTACATATTTATTTTACATACATATATTTTGTATAATAATAAGTATGTAGACAAATTTGAGACAGTTTTATATTTTTTAAAATTACAAAAGACTCTGAAAAAAATGTATTTTGTTACAAATAAATGTATTTAATTAAATAGTAAAATTTATTTCAGATTATATAATTATAAATTTATATAATATTGATTTTTAAGAAGCATATATATTTTTTATTATTTATAAAGAGTTGCTGTTGCTTAGACCTTAGCTACATTTTGGCTGATTAATTTGAAAGATAAATGACTTCATTAAAATCTTCATTCCACTGCCGATTTCTTAAAAAGTATTTACTCTTTGGTATATCAAATTTAGATATATTTTTCTTATGATTATTAATTATTAGCAACATTACTAAATTTATTTTTAGCTAGTTAGAAATTGCTTAATCATTGATCATTCGGCAGGAGCTGCAAAATATAGCGCTCTGAGTGATGGACTGCTCTTGAAAATATTTTTAAGCCCTGCCCAGTGTGCAATACTTTTTAACAAAAAATTCATAAGTAGAAACAAACATTAGCTTATATAGGCTTATCTATATTTCAACAATATTCGAGCTATCTTGTTTTATATGCTGCTCTATATTTAGTTACACATTTTAGCAAATTTTAAAATTATAACAAATTGCTTATAAATTGATCGATTGCCCACAGCTGATCGATTGACTGCCCCACAAATTTGTGGGGCGTTTTTTCATTGAAACCATAAAGCATGATATGTCAAGTCTATGCAAGGCAAATATTGAATACGAACACGAATCGATAGGCAAATAGTCAAATAAAACGTGTTAATATTTGTCTGTAAAACGATGAGGCAACCCAAAGAGAAGATCCACCTTGAAACGCAGTGGCCCCGCTCTTATGTGTAAATCTAAATATATGTATATATATGTTTCTCTCAATATATGAACAAGTATATGTATTGCCAAATACTCTCTTCGCGTCATCATAATAATCAGCATTATCATTTAATAATATGCATTTAGCTTATCTGCAAACTGTTGTCTAGTTTGTTTTCTTATTTTTATTTGATTTTTCTATTTTTCTATTTGTTGCTGTTGTACAATTTGTGTTTGCTGAGCGTGCGTCGACCTTATCGCTGGGGCTCTCCACTCGCGAGCCTCTCTCAGTATAATATACTATTCTCGCTGTTTTTCCTTTTTGTTAGTAATACATAACAATTTATTTCTTTTTCTTTTTTGTGCTTTGCTGCGCTGCGCTGCTCTGCCACAAGAGCTGTTAAATAATAACAAAATAAAATACTGTTGCTAAATAAATTTTGTTGCTTTTACGCTGCTGCCAGCAGCTCGAAAATCTCAGCGCAGTTTGTCGACGACTTTCGAACGAAAAACATAAAAAAAATGTGTCTAGCAGCGAAATAAAAAGCAATTAAACCAGCGAAATGATCTAAACGAATAATTTAATCAAACCGAATGTAGCCAGATATGTAATTAAATTAGAATATGCAAAATAAGTGCAATAAAAAATAATTAAAATCAAATCAATTAACAACTAATCAGCGAGAAACGTGAGGACGGACAAAAAAAAAAAAAAAATTAATTAAAAAAAAAAAGTACGAGCATCGACAAACGCCGAAAAACCAACGAACCAAAATATTATTTATAGAACAACCTGATAAAAAACATTAATTTCTGATTAACTCTACGTGTAATCGAAGCAATTAAACTACAGTAAATAACTGAATTCTAATTTTATACCGGAAAACGATGAATAATCTAATAGAGATCAAAGGAGAGCACAAAAAAATACACGAATTTGCGTAGGAGTTGCGTGAAAATATATGATAAAAATAAATCAATCGAGGAAAATACAAAAAGAAAAAAAATCAAAGAGAAAAATCTAAAAAAAAGAGAAAAAAGACAACATAATAAATAATAATAAATTAAAAAAAAAAAAAAAAAAATACATGCATAAATTCGACAAACAGTTTTTTCAACTTGCAATGCCAATGCTAACGATTTTGAAGCGAATCAAATATGAATTCATGCAGAGTGAGTTGCGAATGGTGGTGCACAGAATTCTGTGCAGCACTGTGAAAGATAACGCATGACGTCCGTACGATTCGCATCGATTTGTGATGTGAATGTGCCAGCCGTTTGCTTGATAGCTGAGAAATCAAATCAAATTAATACCGCAATGCTTCAATTAACAGCGAACGAAAAAGCAAACCAGGTCGTCAATAAAATTGTTAATAAATTACATTTTTATTATTATTATTATTATTTGTTTTTTGTATTTTATTTTTCGCGCATTAACACAAAGTTCAATGGCAGCCGCCTTGACTGCCAGCTGAATGTGCTCTTAATTGCGTAGCTGCTTTTGTTCGAAATAATTGTGCTATTAACAAACTAAAAATCAAAGTCAACCAACAACAACAACAACAACTCTAACAACAACAACAATGTTTGCCACAGCTAGCGATACATTGCGGAACAAGGAGACAACTCGAAAGATCAAAACAAAGTCGACGACGTCAAGGCAAAGTCCATTGAAAACCTGGTGGAATGATTGTAGGTTGATTAGCCACAGGGGGAAATCCAAATGTGATACTATAAATATATATATTTATATTAAATTGGACATTAGCTGGGCAGAGCTGGGCGGCATTTTGATTTTCATTTCGCTAATTTTCTGGCCCATAAAAACTGATTAATTATGGCCCGGTCAATGCTACCAAACACGCGACTTGCGCCCCTTGCGGCCAGCCTTGCCTTGACCATCTTTCTCGACAGCTGAGCCAACTTGGCAGCGCACAGCGCGCACAAAATAGAAATCTTCTCTGCTATTTTATTTTTATTTCATTTTGTTTTTGTTTTCTGTATTTAAATCTTCTTAGCCAGAGTTCAGTGCACAGAAGTCGCTCGCTTAGCACAGAATTAAGTAATAGTAGCAAATGGAGCAGCGACAATAAAAAAAGACTTGGCAGCCGGCAAAAGCGATGAGTAACAACTGTCGAAAGACAGTGCCTGAGAAAGCCATGCGTACACGCAGCAAGAATTTTTGTTTCAATTTGAATTATTACTGCGGCATATTGGCTTGTGAGTGCTTAGGACTTATGCATAAACAGCAATATTTACCTTGCAATTTCAACTAAAATATTTACATATATATAAATATTATATATATTTATTTATATTTTGGGTTTAACTTTGATATTTTCATAGACAAGTAATTCAATTGTGGAATATGAATTATTTGCTAATTTATTTCTTAGATTTCCAACATACCCTTCAAATGTTCTGTAAAATTCTCTAATACATATACACTCGAGGTCATGAAAATAGTAGTGCTGCATAATACAAATATAAACTTCATATTCGATCAATAATTATTTAAAAATTTGTCTATTATTACCTTCACAGTATTATATTATGTTCATTACGAAATTATTGATTATTTCTAATTCTAATTTCTAATTCATGACTACATCTTTATTTAATTTATTTATTATTTATTTTATTTTATTTATTTTTTTTTATGTAATTTTTCTATTTGAGAGTAGATTTTAATTTAATATATTTTATCAAAGTTTAGAAAGCATGCACCGTCAAAAAAATAAGTTGAACAATGAGCTAATAATCTATTGTAAGACTTCTTCCAACAATCATATATTAAAGTTAAAAGTAAAAGTCTTGTAAAAAAAATATAAATATAATATAAATATATGAAAAGATACTCAACTGCTCGTAACATATCTAGTCAAACTATATTGAAGTAGAAATTCTAAAAATGGAAGACTTACAATGGGAGAAGTATTCACTTATATTGTTCTATTCATGATGCAAATGTACCTCAGTTAACAGATCATCTAACGAGAAGATGATATCGAACTATGATAAATTGAAAAGCTATAAATGTATATATTTAGAATGGAATGTTTTTTCAGTGCTCTGTAAAAGACAGAAGCTTTACATACATTTCGAAATTTTCTTTTACTTATAGGCAGGTAAATATATAAAAATAAATATATGCACAAAATTTATAAAAAAAAACTAACTTTTATTCATTGGTAAACACTTACAACACTTCAACTTTACACTTTTTGCATTTGTCAGCGATTCATGGCCAGATCGTAGATATATGATACTACTAGTTGGAGATAAGCATTTGCCACTATCAATTGAAATGGAAGTCGGGCAGTGCCCGAGTCGGGCGGGAGGCTACGATGTCGCTTATATAAACAAACGAGTGCAATAAATTGTCTGTATGTAGGTAAAATCAATATTGAATAATAATAGCGACAACAGTCGGCGCCCCGACTTATCAGCAGTCAGGCAGAAGCACACACAGGACAGAGAGAGAGAGAGTGGGAGAGAGACGGCCAAGTCTCTTTTGGCTTTTGGCTTGTGGCTTTTGCCTTCTGTCTTTTGGCATTTACACTCAGTTTGCAGTTTGTTTATTTATTTCGCTTCGTTCATTGTGTGTGCGAATTATGCGCGCTGTGGCACAGTTTCGATAGATATGTATTAACATTGTTTTATCACTAATATTAAAATATTAAAATAGCAAGCGAGTGACTTTTTTTTCTTCGGCCGTCGCGCTTTCAGTAGCAAACTGTGAGCGTCTATGGCAAGTCTGCAAATTAAAATTGTTTTGAGCAAATCCATAGACAGAGCAAGTAACCTGCCGAGAAGTTAGTCAAAAGTGAGCCGTGGTCTAAACTGTATTTGCATCTTTTTATAGACTCCTGCATGGCTGGCAACCGCTCGCCGCGCTCGAGCACTCCGCACCTCTTCCAGCGCTCGAACACGCTGCCTCTGCAGCAGCGGCCCAGTCCCGGCGAGGTGCAGTACGAGAGCTATGTGCTGGCCACGGTGGCGGCCAATGCCAAGTCGCCGGTGGAGCAGCTGGAGCAGGTCAAGGCCGCGCCACCCCCGCCGCCGCCGCGTCGCCATCATCTGACGGCCACGCCCAAAAGCACCAAGGAGACCAATGGACACGACTCTGCCAGCCCGCTGCAGTCGCCCGCCAGCTCCGAGGCTGGGCAGACCACGGCGGATGCGCAGGCACTCTGCCAGATACGCGAGCAAATGGCGCTGAGCCTGAAGCGACTGAAGGACTTAGAGGAACAGGTCAAGGTCATACCTGACATGGAGGTGAGTCGAATATAAATCAAATAAATATAAATAAAGTAAATTTGTATGAAATAAATACAGAAAAATATAAAAAATATATAATATATAATATATAATAAAAATAATAATAGCATAATAATAATTTGTAATACACAAAAATGAATATAAATAAATAAAATATATATAATATATAGAACAATTAAATAGGTACGTATATAATAAAATGATAAAATTAAAAATAATAATATAAATAAATTAAAAAAAAAAAGTAAAATATTAATAATTTTAAAAATATATAAATAGTAATAATATCAAAAATAAAATTAATAAAATATATAAAAAATATAATAATAAAAATATAAATAAATATACATCAAATCAATAAATAAAACATAAAAAATACATAAAATAAAAAAAATATGTACTAAAATGAAACAAATATATTTATTAATTTAATCATAAGGTTAATAAATATACAAAATTAAGTATTAATTAAATAATTATAATAAAAATATATACATATATGTAAATAAATATTCAATATATCAAAAGCATAATAATTAAAAAAAAAAAAAAAAAAAATAATAATAAATAAAAAAAGCCAATGTACTCATTTCACTTTCGTGAATGAGTATACAAATTTAACAATATTTTACTGTCAGTGTAAATGTCAGTGAAAATATTAAACTACTTAAATATGCTATACTAAAAGGAAAAGTGTGATATTTATATTTTAAAGAATACATTTTTTTAGTACAGTACTATGATGTTGGGAATAAATGTAATCATGCAGACTTGCAATGGATATACATATACATATATAAACTAATAAATTCTGTCTCCTCTTGCAGCTGGAGCTGAATTCGCTCCGCTCTGAGAAGCAGCGCCTGCAGCGACGCAACGAGGAGCTGCTGCGCAGTCAGCGCCAGACGCCGTCGCCGCCCAGTCCGGGCGTCAAGAACGGCTCACCCGTGCAGTTTACGCCGCAGCGCATCAGTCCCGTTTCGCTGGAGAGCTTGGGCGCGCGCATGCGCAGCAGCTCCAGCTCGCCGAGCATCATACGACGCGATGTGGCCACGCAGGCAGCGGGCAAGGTGACAGCCACACGGGATGCGGCCGTGGGCGCCAAGCTGAGCGTACGGGATGTGGCCACGCAGCAGGCGGAGGCGATCTACTCACAGGCGGAGCTGAAGCAGAGGATCGAGCAGGCGATCGGCGAGCGGAGGCAGCAGCGGCTCAGGCAGCTCATCTCGGTGGGCACCCAGATGTATGTGCCGCAGCGCGAGCAGCGGGAGAAGGGCATGCAGACGGTGCCGGAGCGGCCGGTGCTCAAGCACAATGTGAGCATCAGCGCCAAGCCCGCGACGAGGGAGAGCTTCACCAGCTGCCAGCCGGAAGTGCGCAGCGTGGGCAGCTCGGAGCACCGCATCACGGACGTGCTCTGCGAGAAGTGTGCCATTACCAAGCGCAGCGTCAGCGTCAGCTGCGGCACCGAGGAGCCGCTGGAGAGGCCGAAGCCAGCTCAGCTGCTGCCGGGACGCAGCAACACCTTCAGTCTCGGCGAGCACGAGCAGCTGGCGATCAAGCGCAAGGCCATCGGCTGTCAGACGCTCTCCACTTCAGTCCACTCGGCATCGAGTCAAACCACAACGGCCACAGTTCGCTCGACCGGAGCTCAGGTCATGCCGGAGCAGCAGCAGATGGCCACCCAATGCGCGCCCGTGGAGGCGACCAGCCGGCAGACGGACACCAACGGCCTGCAGCGACTCACACGCAGCAGCGTCAAGGCCGAGCAGCTGATGGCGCCACTCGTGCGACCCACGACCTGCCACACCGGCAGCAACACTGAGCCGTCGCCATTGGTCAAGCCGGAGCGCCTCACGGTTCACTCCGCCTGCAACACGGAGCAGGTGCGCAAGCGAGACGTCGGCTGTGGCGACATCGTCAAGCCGCACATCTCGATCGCCTGTGCGGCCAACTACTGTGATTCCTGCAAGGAGGCCATCCAGGTGCTGGCCAAGGATTTCTCGAAAGCGGAGACCAGCGACTTGGCTCCCGTCTCCCCAACAGCTGCAGCAGCTACGCCCACAGCTGCTTCCTCCACCACTTCCACGGTGCGCCGCTCCTCATCGGCGGACTCACGCATACCGCGCCCCAAACATCTCACTAGTCCCAGCCCGGTGCGCAAGCAGTTCCAGCGGCAGAATACTTACACGCTGCCAACGGCCGCAGGAGCAGCAGCGACTCCCAAGAGTCCAAAGGCGGAAGGAAAAACGCTACTGAGGTGAGTAAGCGGAAATGGGTAAGGGGGATGGGTAGGGGAAGGGGTAGAGAGAGGGGTAAGGCGAGTATGAGTAGAAGTAGGAGAATTCAATTTATTATACTCATTGAAGAGGGAAATGTGTAAGTTCAATCCTCGTCCGTTCCGCCTTATGTCTCGCTCTCCTTCCGTCCCTCCGTTCATACATCTCGCCTTCCTCCTCGTACACCCTCTCATTGACTTTTTAAAAATTTCGAGGGGCGTGGCAATTTGGAAAATGTATTTTCTGATTTTTAACTTCTCGCGTAGGCGCACTGCAAGTCAAAGTCAGAAACTCAAAATTTACCGATAGCTTCTATAGTTTTGCTAAATTATAAACTATATAGACTTACCAATTGGGGGCGTGGCATATTGTAAAATTAAGCTGGTACCGTAGTCCGTAACGTCCGGTTGCAACGTTCTTATTTGTTACTAATTGTTCTAGAGCAACAATAGTAACATGTATCGTTCCACTGTGCCGCAAATTTCAGTGATTGCTCTCGTTCTCAAAAAAAAAAAAAAAAAAAAAAACTATTTGGCCGCCGTAAATTTCGCTTAACAAAATATAATAACAAATTAACAAATAATTACCATTCAAATAGCTTTGTTCCACTTGGCTAGATTTTTCCGCCTAGCTACAACATTTGTTCCACTGTATCACACAAAAGCTTGCACTGCAAGCTTTTAGCCAAGTCACAAACCAAGCACAGGCAAATGCGTGTCATGCGCACTGCGGGCAACGATTCCGATTCGGAGTCCGAATTCCCGAAATGTGGCAATCCAGTCGCATTGACCTTCAGGCACAGTTTTCGCTTTTGCTTTGGCGCGTTTGCAGCTTCGCCTCGTTTATCGACTTTTTTGTTTATTGTTTGGCTTTTCGTTCTTCCCATGGTGTTTTCAATGTTTTCTGGGCTGAGCAGCTTCACCTGCTACCCGCTGGTGGTCAGCGGCTGCTCCGTGCTGCTCCTAACGTGCGTCGCCCTTGGCTCGAATTTGTCAATATTTTCATTAACTTCATTTCTTTTCCGTCAACAGCTCGCTGCAGGAGAAGCCGCCGAGCGCTGCGCTGGACGCGTCGCCGGAGTCTCAGAGCTTTATCAAACAGCCGTCCAGTAAGTCAACCTCCACGTCCAAGGATCTGGACTTCACCCAAATGGGCGACGACGAGTTGATTGTGCGCGAGGAGAAGCGTGTCAGCATTAGTTGGTCGCGCGATGCCTCGCCAGCTCCGCTGATGACATCGTCGGCCACGACGACGACCAGCACCAAGTCCGCCTCGCCGGAGCAAGCGTCCAGTGACTCCAACGTGGAGCGCGAGATATCGCAGGGCGCGCGCAAGAAGTCCAGCACGCCCCTCAAGTCTAGTCAGAGCGAGGGCTCCCAGGTGACCGTCATCGAGCGGAAGACAGAGGATGCGGAGCCCAACAGCACAAAAGAGGAGCGGCCGCCCACCAAGGCACAGCTGCATCAGCTCGCCCAGGCGCCAACGGAGCCCAGGCAAAAGTGAGTTTGGGAACGGAGATGTACATTTTTATTGTTTTATATACTATTTTAGTTTTTTAATTTCTCTGTAAATATTTGTTATTTCTATTTATTATTATTAAAATTAAATTTTTTATTTTTTTATATCTAAATAATTTTTATTATTTTTTATTAATCTATTTTTCTTATTTCTCAATTTTTTAATTTAAAAATATATATATTTTTTGTTTCATTATTATTATAATTTTAGTTTTAAATTATTGTTTTATTTATTTATTATTTTGTATCATTAATTTTTGATATATAAATTATTTTTATTATTTTGTAGCTATTTATTTTCTTTTATTTTTATAAATTTATCAATAATTTAATTTATAAATATATGTATATATTTTGGTTTTATTGTTATTATTATTTTATTTTAAAATTTTTACATATCAAAATTATGTTTCTATGATTTTTTTTTTTTTTTTTTTTTTTTTTTTTTTAGTTTAAAATTTTATTTAATTGCTCTATTAATTATTAATATTCTCTTGTAACATTGTATTTATATACTTATATATTTCTATTCACCCTCAGATCTGAGTTGGCCAAGGAGCTGAAGGAGGCCCTCAAAGTGATCAATGATTCGCTGCTGAAGAAGCTGGGCTCTCGGCCAATCACTTCGTTCAGCCTGAAGGCATCCAAGGCCACCATTAGCGACCACTGGTTCCGCATATCCAGCACGGCCACATCCAATCCCCACGAGGTGGAGGACTACTTGGACTACTTTGAATCTCTGTCGGTGCCACTTTTGGAGTACTGTGTCAATCTCTCCGATAGCAATGTGAGCAGGATTAATTCAGTGCGACCTTAACTCAAATATTAATATAATCTCCCTCTTCTCCCTCAGGGCAACACGGCCATGCACTATGCGGTCTCGCATGGCAACTTTGACGTCGTATCCATACTGCTGGATTCCAAGGTTTGCAACGTAAACCAAATGAATAACGCGGGATACACGTGCGTCATGCTCGTCTCGTTGGCCAAGCTGAAGCAAGCGGCGCATCGGACAGTCGTGGAGCGACTGTTTCAGATGGCCGATGTCAACATACGAGCCAAGAAGGTAGGTAAAGGCCTGTCACCTGGTCGATTGGCATTGCATCACTCATACGTTACTATTGATTGTTCCACCCACTAACTCACCTCATGCCCGATCCTTTGTCCCAAACCAACTCTTGCAGCACTGCCAAACCGCATTGATGCTAGCTGTGTCGCATGGTAACAGCGACATGGTCGAAATGCTGCTCGAGGCCGGCGCCGATATCAACATCCAGGATGAGGATGGCAGCACGGCGCTGATGTGCGCCGCCGAGCACGGCCGTGTGGACATTGTGAAGCATTTGTTGTCGCAGCCGGAATGCGATTCACTGGTTCAGGATGTGGTGAGTATTCAATGTCTGCTCTCAGCAATTCCTTTGCTCAATCACTTCCCACTTGATTCCCATGCAGGATGGCAGCACGGCCTTCAAGATCGCCTGGCAGGCCGGACATCGCGACGTGGGCTTGCTGCTGTACGTGCACGAGCAAATGCTGCGCAGCAAGCTGCCCAATCGTGGGGAGCCCGTACGCAAGTCTCTGCCCTTGCCCGCGCGCCCCAAGCAGCCAAAGTGAGGCGCAGCGGCTGGGCCGGGCAGCCATTTTTGTATTAGCGGCCAAAATGTCGAACAAAACGTTAGTGGTAAGATTTTGAATTAGCATTTCGTAGCGCTGCCTAGGGAAAGTAGCTAAAAAACCATTCCAACAAACAAAACTGTTCATAATTTAGCTAATAGTTAACACTCACACAAACAAATGAAAGGCGCAAACAATACTTTTTAATATTAACTTTAAGTTGTATTTAATTTATTCTCTTATTAATTTTGTTTAATGTCTAAAAAGCTCACAACTTAAAATAATATATGCAAGAATTACATAATTAAATCTAAGTTTTATAATTATGCAACTAAAATCAAATGGAAAATTGTCAAAACTTAATTACAAATATTAATTAATGTATACAATAATTTACAATTTCTCTTAAGAAAATACTAAATATATGAAAAAATATATATAAATAAAAAAAAATTACTACATTAACCTGGGCTACATACAGTAGCAGCCATAAAGCAACCATATCAGCAAACGACAATGCAAGAAACGAAAAGAGGAAAACTTTAACAAAACACAATTGTAAACAATAAATTAAAATGTAATTAAATTATTTTTGCAGAGCTACTTACAATAAAATTTAAAAATATAATATATCTATGTATAAAAATACAAATGTGGTTGATAAATAAATATTTATGGGAGTTTTAGCTACCCAAGCGTAGCACCAATTTAGTCAAAAAGTATACGTCTATTCAAATTTAATGCGGCATATTGTATTTAATAGTATATATATATCTGTATATGTATTCATTTGACGATCAACTACATATTTTAGAGCATTTTAAATAAATAAAATTTATGTTATGTTTAGTTTGTGCTTAACTGCAATCAACTCTTTTCACGGATATTAACTGGAGTTCGGATTTTATAGCAAGGGGGATTCCAATTGTTATTTTATTTTATTTTATAATACTATTGAATTCCACAGTGAATTTATTTGATATTTATAATTTTGGTAATTTATTTGAATATTCACTCCAATACATATTTAATCTTACTTAACTTTCAAATTATTTTTTCTTTAATTTTTTTATTTGTATGTTACTCGTGTATATAATTAATATATATGTGTATATAATTAATATATATGTATATATATTCCCTTTTATTGTAATTTACTGAAATTTTTACTTCCTGATATTTTTATTCAATTTTTAATTTGATGTTTATTTTTAGCTTTGAGTAATTGCGTGAATATCTCATTTATAAATTTCCATGCAATCATTTTTTATACACTTTTTTTTTTAAAATATTCACTTCAGCTTTTCTATGCCTTTTAAACATTTCAATTTTGTTTTGCAAATTTTGTTTTCTTATTTATAATATTTATATATATTTTTATTGTTATTTTTATTTTTTAAGTGAAGTTATTTCTTTGAATTTTCATTTGAATATTCTAAGAACTTTAACGTTATTTAATACTTTTTGCTTATGCTTTGTATTTATTTATGAAATTATAATTTGACTTTTTAAATATCTTATTCTTTAATCCCAGTTAATTATCTGAATACTTTCATATAGTTTCATATTTCGATATTGTCGTTAATAGTTAAAACTCTACAACCATTTTAAATATAAATATCATTAGATTTCCTAAATTCATCTACTCTTTATATAGTTAGTTCATTTATTTAATATTATAAATTATATCCACTGTTTACTTTTAAATATCGTTAAGCTTTTGCTAATCTGCTTTTATTTTTCATTTGATCGTCATCTCTTCCTTCATTTCCTTCACTTGGAGTTCTTCAAGTCCAACTAAACTTTATTCACATATTAAATTCATTATTCGTAGTCACACTCGTTTTTAGACCGCACGCTCCTCCAGCCCGGGCTCGACCACGCCCAGAGGCGTCAGCTGCAGCGCGATGCCGTCCTGCAGGCTGACCAGAGGGCGTCTCGAGTTCAAACTGAACTCGAACTCCAGCAGCAGCAGAGCGAGTGCCACGCGCAGCTGCAGCTCTGCGAATTGCATGCCAATGCAGTTCCGCACCCCGGAGCCAAAGCCGAACCAGGTGCTCTGCTCCTTGAAGGAGTCGCGCGGACTGCCCCAGCGCTCGGGCTTGAATCGGTCCGGCTCCGGGTAATACTCGGGATCGTTGTGTATGGCGTGCGTCGGGATGATCACGAATATCTCCTTGGCTAGCGTGTACTTCATGTGATCCGGCACCGTGTAGTCGTTGAGGCAGCGTCGCATTATGTACGGCGTGATGGGATGCATCCGGAGCGTCTCGAGTATGACGTGGCCCATTAGCGTCAGGGATTGCACACAATCGTAGCTGAGCTGGTTCTGGTGCTTGGCCATGACCTCCTTCAGCTCCTGGCGCAACTCGCGCTGCACCTCCGGGTTGAGCGCCAGCTCGTAGAGAGCAAGGGATAACGTATTGGCGGTTTGCTCGTATCCGGCCTTGAGGAACACAAATGCATGGGCGGCCAGCTCGTGCTGCAGATGCGCCTTCAGCTCCTTGTCGGCCTCGTACTCGTGCGTGGTCAGCTCCACGGCCTTAATATCCAGCAGCAGCTGCAGATAGTCCTGTCGCCGCTCCCCCGCCGCCTCCCGCTGCGCCACAATATCCTCGAGCAGGCTCAGAAAGTAGTCCTCGGCCGCCTTAGGCGTTTGACGCAGCCGCAGCTTCCGACAGACGTTGGGAAAGCGTATCATCAGCAGATTCATCAGATAGCCGTGCTTGCGTGTGCTCAGCGCCAGCTCCGTCATCTGCTCAAACTCGTCCAGCGAGTACTTCTGCCGCTGCTCGGCGTTCACGCCGAACACACAGCTGGCCAGGGCCGAGAGCACGTAGCGTCGCATTAGCTTCTGTATGTGGAGCGTCGAGTGGGACTGCTTCATCAGCGTGCTGCTGACCGTCAGCAGCAGCTGCTCGGCCTCCTCGTAGAGGCTGTCATACAGCCAGGCCATGCGGTCTCGCTCGAAGCAGGGATCGAGCTTCTGGCGCATCTCCTTCCACTTGTTGCCCCGCAAGCCGTACAAATCGCCCGACAGCGGATCCGACTTTTGATTGCAGTAAATGCCGCGATCATTGAAATTCCAGAAATTCTTGATCATGATCTGCCGTATCAGCTCGCGATCAAGGGCCAGAGCACGCGGCTGCAGCAGCGCATAGAATCCGCAGAACGGGCCGCTGCCCTTGAACTTGTTGTAGATGCTCGTATAGTGGGCGACCTTCATGTCGTCGGTGCTGAGGGACTGCGTGGCGAGCTGCTTGATGATGGGCCAGAGCTTCTTCGGCCTCTCGTGCGGTATGTCCAGATAGCGCCAGTAGTCGCGCTGATAACGCGCGGCCATGACGAGCAGTATCAGCAGACAGAGCACGATTAGGCCTAATATCATAAAAATTATCCACATGTCCGTCATTTTCATGTTTTCTGCGCTTTGAGCTGTGCACGGCAATTAGCGATCCGCAAATACATATAGACACGCACTATACACAGCTATAATCAGATACATATATATGTATATATATATATATGTATATTATATCACAATATCACAATTTTGGCCAGTGACTCTTTTCGGGGCCGGAAGCCGTATCCGTCAATGATCTAATGCGAGTCGCGAACGCGTTCTCAGCGACAAGCTGAATCTGTTACGTTCATTACCAAAGCGCGCCGTTCGACTGAGTGCAATTGAGTAAAACATATTTACGATACGCTCCGCGCCGTAGTGAGCTTTTCATTTGAGAGGAGGGAATGGGGGGAGTGAGTGTTGGGGCCTGGAGTGCGCTACACTACAGCCATTGCTGCTTATGGCCTGACTTGGCTTAAATGCGCTGCGAGTGGGCGTTCGAGTGAGGCCAGTCTCAATCGCAGTCGCAATGTGAGTAACTCCGAGTGTAGGATGAATCCATGAGTCGAGCATGAGAAAAAATAAATAAAAATAAACATATAATAAAGCACAAATAATCTAGCTCAGCGCAATTGTCTCTCAGTGTAGGGTATTTCGTCAGTCTGTGCGACAGCGCGGACAGAAATCAATTTAAAGTTCATTTTCGTTTGTTATCAGCTTCATTGTACACCTTTTATTTTGTTGCTTTTGTTATAGATAAAAGAGCAGTTGTTACCTTTGGAAATTTCGCTTTGAGGTGGGGTTATCTCAATTAAAAGTCGAGCAATAAACTAATTGCACCGAGTCAAATAGCTATTTGATGACGATGAGCAAAGCCAAATAAATGCTAAAATTTAGCTTATCGACTCGAAGAATGTCCATTCCTTAGTATTTATTTATTTATAATGTAATTTAACTTTAGTCATGGTCTCTATATTAATTTTAGCTGCATTTTACAAATCTTTAGATTAATCTGAGCAAACTTATTCGAGTGCTCTTCAAAAATTACTCTCTAGAAATTACTCGCGATGTACTTGTTCAGGTGACCTGCTGAATTTAACATTCAATTAGCGCTTTAATGCTACAACAAAAGCAAAGGAGATGAACGACTAAGAGGTATCCTAAACTATATTTAGTAAAATTAGGTAAAATAATTTGGGGTTTCTAAAATTATGAAATAAATATATTTATCTAATTTATTCATTCTTAACAAAATAGTTTTTAATGTTTAAAAATATACCCTACTCACTGTTATAAAAATTCATATAGATGTTGCCAACAAAAATAAACAATATAGAAATTTATTTTAGTTCATTTACTGCCATTATTATTGTGTTATCCGCACTTGAAATCTAATCAAATGTCAAAATAAAATGCGACAAAAAGTAAATACTGGCAGCGTTGCCGGATCACTGTAGGTAAATATAACAATTGTGTGTACTTAAATGACTTAACATACATATATCACAGTGAGCCAAAAAACTTAGCCTCACCTGGCCAACTTATCGCACCGGCTCTCCGTATCTACGCAACGTATAGAGCGCGTAGCTTAACGAGAAATGCTGTCATTGACTGCCTTATAGAGCTTGTATACATTATTCACAGGAGTCGGACGTGCATCGTGAGTAATCAGATATGAAGCTAGCAGAGCTTGCTTCGCTTTTGATGAGCATTCCTAGCCTAGCATTCCATATTAGCGTAACGTTTATATTGCTGCTGATAAGAAAAGAATTTGTGCTCTCAGTCAGTAAATTCGAAAAAATGTAAGATAAATGATTATTAAGTGTTTTTTTCTTTTAATTTTTTTTTTTATTTATATTTTTTTTTTTATTAATGAAATGGTATATTTTTACAATATTTCAAAATATTACTTATTACTATTACTATTACAGTTTTGATATTTTTATAGTTAATTGACAATTTTGATTTCATTTATTTATCTAAGATTGTTAGATAGATAATTAAAAAGAATCAGTTTGCTGTCCCTAAGACTCAATAAATAGCCAAATCGGATTTTATGTCAACTGTGAGTCAATCATCAAGCAGCTCCATACTAAAAGCAAACCCAAACCACTTTTGTTAAGTAAGACTAAAAAAGTTTTTTCCACTACTTGCCACAAGATGGCGCTGCTAACTCATTAATATGTCTGGCTAGTTAGCCAACTTTAACAAAAAAAAAAAAACAAAAAACAAAAACAAAACAAAACAAAAAAAAAAAAAAAAGCTTCAAAATGTCTACTGATAACACTTAAGAATAAAATGAGTAAGCATTGACTCCCGTGAAGGTGGGCCAAAGTAATGATCGTTGTGTGTGACCAGTAATACTTCACGCGATACCATAATACAAATCATTGTGACAATAGAGATAGCGAGTTATAAAGCCGTGCAGGCAACCATTTGAGTTCAGTGGTGTACGAGCATTTGCTTACACTACACGCACTGAGTTTAATTTTGAAGAACAGCAAATTTCATTTCATTATGGGTGTCGTCACGTTACTACTTACTGCGCTGATAGCAGTGATCGGGTATCTGTTCATACGACTGCATCAACGCATGCACTATTGGCAGAGAAAGGGCATTCCCTGCGAGGAACCCAGCCTTCTAATGGGAAGCATGAAGGGCGTGCAAACTGAGCGAGCGTTTATAGATATTTGGACGCATCATTACAACAAGTTCAAAGGAACTGGACCTTTTGCGGGCTTTTACTGGTTCCAACGTCCAGCTGCATTTGTATTGGAACCTTTCCTAGTGAAGCACATTCTGATAAAGGACTTCAATAAGTTTTCCGATCGAGGATTCTTTAGCAACCCCGAGGATGACCCACTTTCTGGGCAGCTTTTTGTATTGGATGGACATAAATGGAGATCTATGAGGAATAAGCTTTCATCCACCTTTACGTCTGGCAAAATGAAGTACATGTTTCCCACGGTAGTGAAGATAAGCCACGAGTTCATCAAAGTCTTTGGAGATATGGCAGACAAGTCTTCGGTGATTGAGGTGAGAGAGCTGCTGGCTCGGTTTACTACGGATGTTATCGGTAATGTCGCCTTTGGCATTGAGTGCAACAGTCTTAAGGATCCTGAAGCGGAATTCCGCGTTATGGGTCGCAAATCTCTAACTGATAAACGCCATGGTTTAGTGGGAATCGCAGTACTGACTAGTTTTCCAAAGTTTGCAAAACGGTTACATTTGAAAGGGACAGCGGAACACATCGAAAAGTTCTTCATGAAAATCGTTAGAGAAACTGTTGACTTCAGAGAGAAAAACAATATTCGTCGCAACGATTTCATGGACCAACTGATTGACTTAAAAAATAATCGATTGCTAAAGACCGAAACAGGAGAGGACACGAGTCTGACAATTGAGGAGATAGCTGCTCAGACCTTCCTGTTCTTTGCTGCTGGATTTGAAACTTCTTCAACGACAATGGGCTTTGCCCTGTATGAGCTGGCCCAGAATGTGGAAATACAGAACCGATTGAGGCAGGAGTGCAAAGAGGTTCTAGCCAAGTATAATGGGGATCTTACCTATGAGTGTATCAAAGATATGCAGTATTTGAACCAAGTCATATCAGGTAAGCAGGAGAGTAAATTATATAAAAACTTTGTTATATATAATAAATTTTTTTTTTTTTTTTTTCAGAGACCTTGCGACTATACACGGTTCTTCCAATTCTCAATCGGGAGGCCCTAGAGGATTTTGTGGTACCTGGATATCCGAAATATGTGATCAAGCAGGGCACGATGGTTATTATACCTGCCGGTCCTATGCATCGTGATGAAAAGCTATATCCGGAACCGAATCGCTTCAACCCAGATAATTTCGAGCCAGAAAAAGTGAAGAACCGTGACTCTGTGGAGTGGCTTCCCTTTGGAGATGGACCACGAAATTGCATTGGAAAGCGATTCGGAGAAATGCAGGCTCGCATTGGTCTCGCAATGCTTATTAAGGACTTTAAGTTTTCAGTGTGCGATAAGACAGTGATACCCATTAAATATGACAAAACGAACTTCGTGGTATCCAGCGAAGGCGGCATTCACCTGAAGGTAGAGCGAGTCTAAAAAGTGTGTTCACAAATGTATTTATAATAGTAAAGATTACTTAAAAGACTTTGGCAATAAATAAAATGTATAGGAAGCAATGGACTAAATGGATAAGTGAATGTCTTCAAACAAACATAGAAACAAAAATTTAAATTCTTTTTAGTAATTGATCACTTATTATAGTCATAAGTATACCAAAACATTGTTTATTTTTATTAGACCCAGTGTCACGTGTAACACTTAAATAAAACAATAAAATTATTGTACTATAGATAATAAACTTATTCATACATTTCCATTATTGATAATTTTGGCTAATCGCAGTAAAAATACTTCATAACTACCAGCATTTTGTACTGTCATGCAGACTATGAAAGTTTCTATCTGCCGATAAAAAGCGACCCGCATTCAGTCTGGCTCTCAGTATGCCACGAATGCTTGTCGGCGACGGAAACGACCATGGCTTTTGGAATTATTCTACTTACGGCAGTTGTTGCCCTCTTGGGCTACCTCTTCTTGCGAATGAACCAACGGATGCACCATTGGGAGAATGCAGGAATTCCCTGCGAGAAACCTAACATTATCGTGGGATGTTTAAGGGGCGTGCAAACTGAGCGAACTTTCCTGGACATTTGGATGCAGTACTATAAGAAATTCAAAGGAACTGGACCATTTGCAGGCTTTTACTGGTTCCAACGTCCAACTGCGTTTATCTTGGAACCCTTTCTGGTGAAGCACATTCTGATAAAGGACTTTAATAAGTTCACTGATCGAGGCTTCTTTAGCAACCCCGAGGATGACCCACTTTCTGGGCAGCTATTTCTGCTCGATGGCCATAAATGGAGATCTATGAGGAATAAGCTTTCATCCACCTTTACGTCTGGCAAAATGAAGTACATGTTTCCCACGGTGGTGAAGATAAGCCACGAGTTCGTCGAGGTCTTTGGAGATATGGCAGACAAGTCTTCGGTGGTTGAGGTGAAAGAGCTGCTGGCTCGGTTTACCACGGATGTTATCGGTAGTGTCGCCTTTGGCATTGAGTGCAGCAGTCTTAAGGATCCTGAAGCTGAGTTCCGTGTCATGGGTCGTAGCGCACTAACTGATCAGCGTCATGGCAACCTGGGACTTGCGATCCTCAATAGTTTTCCGAATTTTTCTCGACGAATGCATTTAAAAATGACACCAGAACACATTGAAAAATTCTTTATGAGAATCGTTAGAGAAACTGTTGACTTCAGGGAGAAAAATAATATTCGTCGCAATGATTTTATGGACCAACTGATTGACTTGAAAAACAATCGTTTGTTAAAGGCCGAAACAGGAGAGGACACGAGTCTGACAATTGAGGAGATCGCTGCTCAGGTTTTTGTCTTCTTCGCTGCTGGATTTGAAACTTCTTCTACGACAATGGGCTTCGTCCTCTATGAACTGGCCCAGAATGTTGATATACAGGATCGATTGAGGGAGGAGTGCAAAGAAGTTCTAGCCAAGCATAATGGGGATCTTACCTATGAGTGTATCAAAGATATGCAGTATTTGAACCAAGTCATATCGGGTAAGCAAGACTGTAAAATAACTGAAAACGTAGTAATAAATTTTACTTTTTTCTAGAAACTCTGCGACTATACACGGTTCTTCCAGTTCTGAATCGGGAGTGCCTAGAGGATTTTGTGGTACCTGGATATCCGAATTATGTGATCAAGAAGGGTATGACTGTTATCATACCGTCTGCAGCTATGCATCGTGATGAGAAGCTATATCCGGAACCGAATCGCTTCAACCCAGATAATTTTGAGCCGGAAAAAGTGAAGAACCGCGACTCGGTGGAGTGGCTTCCCTTCGGAGATGGTCCACGAAATTGCATTGGAAAGCGATTCGGCGAAATGCAGGCTCGCATTGGTCTTGCAATGCTTATTCAGCAGTTTAAGTTTTCAGTGTGCGATAAGACAACGATACCCATTAAATATGACAAAAAAAGCTTTTTGATAGCTAGCGAGGGCGGCATTTACCTGAAAGTAGAGCGAGTTTAAGCAGCAGGTTTGGCAGCGAAAGCATATTGTTCAAAGTAAAATATTTTTGTAGAAATTATAAAAGACATACATGTGAACTTCTTGGTGTATTAAGTGTAGTAGGCCAATAAGAGACTAAAGGGAATGGTATTATGGTTAACTATCGATGTTTTTGTTTTGTATTTTTATTATTATTTATATTTTTACATTTACTATATAAATTATATATATAATTTCTGCATGGCAGTCGGTTTTTTAATTTTTTAATTCTACATATATAAAATAACTCAACTTTCTAACTCAAAATCCTAACAGCTCCCACTGTACGATTGGCAGTGCGTACAATACAACACACCCAGAGCGCAATCAATGATAGATAAGCACCCGGATTTATGCCGTTTGATAATTAGTATTATACAATGGGTGCAGCATGAAATATTTATATTTAATACAATATATATAAATATTAAATATGATATAAACAATATCAAAAAATATTTGCATTATATATATCACAAGCATGTATAAGATTACAATTGATATACTTGAATAAAAAAGCTTTTACTGTCGGAATTCTATTTTTGCTACCCGTATTTGGTATTGTAATGTACACAATGAAAGCTTCGGACGGGCATTTAATATGAAAACCCAGCTTTGTTGCTCTCAGTTTATCGTGAGTGCTAGCTTGCAACGGGCACGACCATGGCTATCGGAATTTTATTACTTACGGCAGTGATTGCCCTCTTGGGCTATCTGTATTTGCGAATGCATCGCAATATGCAGCACTGGCAAAATGCGGGCATTCCCTGCGAGGAGCCCCACATTCTGATGGGCAACCTTAAGGGCGTGCAGACTGAACGATCATTTCTGGACATTTGGATGCAGTACTATAAGAAATTCAAAGGAACTGGACCTTTTGCCGGATTCTATTGGTTCCAGCGTCCAGCTGCATTTATTTTGGAACCCTTCCTGGTGAAACACATTCTGATAAAGGACTTCAATAAATTCACTGATCGAGGATTCTTTAGCAACCCCGAGGATGACCCACTTTCTGGGCAGCTATTTCTACTCGATGGCCATAAATGGAGATCTATGAGGAATAAGCTTTCATCCACATTTACGTCTGGCAAAATGAAGTACATGTTTCCCACGGTAGTGAAGATAAGCCACGAGTTCGTCGAGGTCTTTGGAGATATGGCAGACAAGTCTTCGGTGATTGAGGTGAGAGAGCTGCTGGCTCGGTTTACCACGGATGTTATCGGTAGCGTCGCCTTTGGCATTGAGTGCAGCAGTCTTAAGGATCCTGAAGCTGAGTTCCGTGTCATGGGTCGTAGTGCATTAAGCGATCAGCGCCATGGAGCCCTGGGAATTGCGATCCTCAATAGTTTTCCGAATTTTTCTCGACGAATGCATTTGAAAATGACACCAGAACACATTGAAAAATTCTTTATGAGAATCGTTAGAGAAACTGTTGACTTCAGGGAGAAAAATAATATTCGTCGCAATGATTTTATGGATCAACTGATTGACTTGAAAAATAATCGATTGCTAAAGACCGAAACAGGAGAGGACACGAGTCTGACAATTGAGGAGATCGCTGCTCAGGCTTTTGTCTTCTTTGCTGCTGGATTTGAAACTTCTTCTACGACAATGGGCTTCGTCCTCTATGAACTGGCCCAGAATGTTGATATACAGGATCGATTGAGGGAGGAGTGCAAAGAAGTTCTAGCCAAGCATAATGGGGATCTTACCTATGAGTGTATCAAAGATATGCAGTATTTGAACCAAGTCATATCGGGTAAGCAAGACTGTAAAATAACTAAATATTTAATAATAAATTTGACTTCTTTTTAGAAACCCTGCGACTATACACGGTTCTTCCAGTTCTGAATCGGGAGTGCCTAGAGGATTTCGTGGTACCTGGATATCCAAATTATGTGATCAAGAAGGGTATGACAATTGTCATACCGTCTGCAGCTATGCATCGTGATGAGAAGCTATATCCGGAACCGAATCGCTTCAACCCAGATAATTTTGAGCCGGAAAAAGTGAAGAACCGCGACTCTGTGGAGTGGCTTCCCTTCGGAGATGGACCACGAAACTGCATAGGAATGCGATTTGGAGAAATGCAGGCTCGCATTGGTCTCGCAATGCTTATACAGCACTTTAAGTTTTCAGTGTGCGATAAGACAATGATTCCCATTAAATATAACAAGAAGACCTTCCTGGTGGGAAGCGAGTCTGGCATTTACCTGAAAGTAGAGCGAGTGTAATGCCGCAAAAGTAGTAAATCAGACTTGCTTATTATTTTTTAGGCATAATGGTAGTATATTTTATAATTGTATAGCAATTTTGGAAGTATTTATGAATATGATCCGAGAATGTATTTAACATTCTTATTAAAATAACATGCATGATGTCACTTTTACAATTGTATAAAACTGCGTCGTATCATAACAAATATTTTTTATTGTTTATAAACATATGATTTTTTTTTATTGTCATTGTGTGGAATTTTAAGTATCTACAGTAGCTAAAGTTCATTCACAATTTGTATGCGAAGTGGGAGAGAATGAATAGCTAAGTGTCGAGCTTTTAAGAGCTTTACTCTCGCTCTCTCGCTTTGCCTCTCTATCCCGCTCGTTCTCTCTCGCTCTGATCGTTAGAACGTTGCGTCTATTTGATTTCAGTATCAGCATTCATGTTAAACCAGTTTGGCTGCTAAATTTAGTATTACGCTTGATTTGTTCTTATCAATCGTGAGTGTTTAGAGAAAAGTTTAAAAATAAAGCAAAATTATAAAAATAGATGAATGGTAAAATAAATAAACTAGATAACTAGAAATTTTAACCGTGGTTCCTAGCTCAATGGCTCCAACTGCAGCCGGAATTCCTTGGGGTGCAGCAGGAATGAGTGATTCTTGAATTGCATCGGCTGCGGGGTGTCGGGCGCTAGGCTAAAGCGAAAATTGCGTATCAGCGTGATGAGACCCACGGCCAGCTTCATGCGGCCGAACCGCATTCCAATGCAGATGCGAGGCCCCTGGCCGAAGGGCAGGTATGCACAGGTGGGTCGCTGCTGTATGGCCTCCTGGGTGAAGCGCTCGGGCTGAAACTTTTCCGGTTCCGGATAATAGGTCGCATCATGATGGATGGAATAGACGGGTATGATCAGCTGAGATCCAGCTGGTAAATAGTGCTTGGGATAGTTGGGCACCTCAAAGTGTTCATTGACACGGCGCAGGTGCTCCGAGGCAACGGGATACATGCGAAGGGTTTCTGCGAGATGATCGAGTGATAATGGAGAAAATGACATTAAATATTCCTTTCCCTTCTACTTACCCAACATCACCTGCTCGAGGTATTTCATCTTCTGCATGGCCTCGTAGGTGAGTTCTCCGTTCTCTCCGTAATTGGCAATGACCTCCTCAATCTCCTCCCTCAGCTGGCACTGAATGTCCTCATGCCGCGCCAGCTCGTACAGGGCTAGGACTAGAGCTGTGGCCGTCGTCTCGAAACCCGCCACAATGAAGACGTACATCTGGGCGGCGATCTCGTTGATGGTCAGGCCCTCGGCTGTGTCGCCTCGCTCGTATTTCTGCTTCATCTCCACCATGATGTCAACGAGATCGTTGCGCTTAATATGGTGCGCCTCCCGGTGACTGATGGTGTCCTTGACCAGCCGCATGTAGAAAGCCTCCACGTCGGCTGGCGTCCGCTTGATGTGCAGCTTGAGGCTGAGCTCGGGAAAGAATAAGCAGAACAGGTAGTCGATGCGCTTCTTCAGCATCGCGTTCAGGCCCATCTGCACAAAGGGCGCCTTGGCGTCGCGCAAACTGTTGCACTCCAGGCCAAAGATGGCGCTGCCAATGGTGTCCATCGTGTAGCAGGCCAGCAGCTTGGTCACCTCCAAGGCGGCAACGTGTCCGGCACACCGCTCATGCACCGCTCTGGACAGCTCGCGGGCAATGCGCAGCACCGATGGGAACATCAGCTTCATCTTTGCTCCGCTGAAGATGGGCGTTAGGCGTGGCCGCAGATTGTGCCACCTGGGACCGTCGATGGCGAAGAGATGCGCCGAGAGGGGATCGTCCTGCTCATTGTAGAACAGACCTCGGCTGTCGAAGTTGCTGAAGTCCTTGATGAAGATCTGCTTCAACAGATCCATATCCGTAACCACATACACGGGCTTCATGAAGAAATATATGCCGAACAGCGGACCAGAGTCCTTGTACTTCACATAGAGCTTCTGCAGCATTTGCGAGGTGTGCTGAGTGATTCGCCAGCCGAAAACATTGCCAAACACTGGCCGGGGATCCTCATGCGCAATGCCGCGTCGTTTCAAATAGGAGAAACGGTGCCGCATCCACAGATAGAACGCGACCAGGACGCATGCGATGAGCGAAATTGTGGCGGACATATCAGTTGGAAGAAATAGTTTAGACTAGGTAGCAGAGCTATAACTCTGTGGCATTTATAGCGCCTGCTCCGGCACGTTTAGGGGGTCAGGATCCCCATATAAGTTTATGATGTTGGCCACTGAGTTCATCTAAAGTTCTTTATATATAATGCTCGGCTAGCTAAACACACAAATCGAGCGAGTTTTTACATAGGCACAACGAATTTTATTAGGAAAATATTTGTAAATAGAAAACTTTGAACTTAAGTTATCAAAATACTTGAGATACATAAACCAAAATTCTTTATGGTAATAAGTTATAAGTAAACAAGTATGCATGATCTTGTCAGCAGTGGACGACTAGAAAATACCCTGACCAGTACTTTAATGTGTGCGCTTGGATATGAGTTATGGTTATGGGCTATGTAAAAGTACGATCGACCTCGGTCCCATATGCATTTTTTAAATGAAACTTTTAAAAACTAATTTGATGTATTTGCTAAAGCAGACCCTCTACAGTTTAAAGCCCATATGCCTTTTCTTAATGAGATTTTCAGAAAGTAATTTGATGTATTTGCTAAAGCAAACGCCTCTACAATTCTAAGTATATATGCACTCTATATGAATATACATACATTTACATACATTATTTACATAGATCAGTAATGAAGAGAAGAGTTTTACACAGCAGTGATAGCTACATGACGTGACTGATAAATATATAACTAATGTTAAAGTTATAACATTGCCGTTAAAGACATAATATTGCCGCTTTTTATTTTGATACGCTTTCCACTTTTAAGTAAATTCCGTTCTCAGGTGTCAAAAATATATTTCTGGTGATCAACTTCATGGGTATTTGGGTCTGTGGCGACAGACTGAACTTGAAGGCCCTGATCAGGTGGGCCAAGCCCACAGACGTTTGCATCATGCCAAAGCGTGAGCCGATGCAATTGCGTGGACCATCACCGAACGGCAACCAGCTGCAGGCTGGCCGAGCGGCAATCTCCGCCTCTGTGAAGCGTTCGGGCTTGAATTTGTCCGGCTCCGGATAGATGTCGGGATCGTAGTGTATACCCAAACCAGGTATTACAACTGTGGTGTTCTTTTCAATGTAGTGCTTTGGATCTCCGGGCGAATAGTCTGAGATGGCCTTTCGGGTAAGATGGGGTAGCACGGGGTACTTTCGTAGAGTTTCTGCTTTAAAATATTCCAATTGTATTCAGGTTATTATAGAAATATATATTATTTTACTTACCCATGACAACTTGTTCCAGATATTTCATTTCCTTCACATTATCGTAGGTGTACTCATTGTTGTACCTACTCAACACCTCGTTGATTTCCGCTCTCAGCTTGTTCTGTATGTCCTGATGCAGGGCCAGCTCATAGAGAGCAAATCCCATGGTTGTGGAGCTGGTTTCAAAACCGGCTACGAAGAAAATGAATGCCTGGGCCGCCAACTCCTCAAAGGTTAGACCCTCCTCTGTGTTGCCCGCCTTTTGCTTATAGTACATTTCGATAAGCATGTCCATGAAGTCGTTGTGCTTCTCTTTGGTACTCAGGCGATAGTCGATGGTATCGCGAATGATGCGCATATAGAACTCCTCAACCTCTTCTACTGTTAGTTTCAGATGCATGCGACGTGCCAGCTTTGGGAAGCCAAATATGAAGAAATCAAACAAGCCATGATACCGTCGCTCCGTTAAAGCCCGTTTACCCACGCGGACGAAATGCGCGTTTGGATCACGCAGGCTGTCGCAGTCGAGCCCAAAGGCGCAGTTGCCAATTACATCGGCCGTGAAGCGTCCCACCAAGTCGGTAACTTCAAGGACCTGGGCTGTGGACGTCTTCTCTTTGAAGACGTTGGCCATTTCCTCGGCCACGCTCAAAATGATGGGCAGCATGTTCTTCATCTTGTTGGAGGTGAAGGTGGGCGTCAGCTTGTGGCGCAATCGCCTCCACTTCTGACCCTCAATGCTGAACAGTGTCGCGGACAGAGGTCGTCGAGTTCATTGTGGAATATGCCACGATTCTCAAAGTTACTAAAGTCTTTTATTAACACACGTTTGACTAGCTCCATGTCAGTGACTACCGCGGTCTTCCTGAAGAAGAAATAGAAGCCAGCGAAGGGCGCATTTCTAATCTTGTACTTCAGATAATAGTCCCTGTAAATGACGCCCATTTGACGCTTCGTCGGCCAGCCCGCAAGGTTGCCTTTCGGGAACCTAGGCGCGTCGTGTGGAATGCCACGGCGATTCCAATAGTTGTACCTATGTCGAGCTGCATAATAGAGCAGGGTCACAATGATTCCGATCAGCACTAGAATTGTCGACATTTCAACACCTCGATGCACACTGAGTCAATGATGCACCGAGCACGGGATATTTATGAGCAAAAGCTCTGTGTTGGGTCAAAATCGCTCATATTAAGTTTAAGTTGAAGTTTTATACCTACATATGTTCTTTAGATTCGGGACCAGTCTAATTACTTGCGACTCATTGCATTATTTGCTTACACTCATTCGTCTAACTTTAGGAAAACAGCGCTTGCCTAGAGTTTTCTGTAACTTAGTGTACTGAGAGTTCTACGAATAAACGGTTGCGCATACTAGTTTATTAAACGCACATCCAAGTGCCCACATCAGTATTAAATCATCGTTTTTGATTTACCTTTTTTTTTTTTAAGAATGTACCCTTCTACATGTTAAAAATTCGGATAATTGAGTATTGGTAGCGTCCTCTACCAATAAGCTAAAAATAGGTTCGACTCCTTGGAGGCGTAGCAGCACAAGCAGTACAAGCAATCGAATATACATTATTTCATATCTAATAAATAATTTTAAGTAACTATTACTATTCTTACGGATAGCACTCTTCTTAATTTAATGTTTTAACAAAACATATAATATAAAGCTCAGAGAGGGTCTCAGGGATCTGTTGTGCATCATAGAGGCCTGAGACACCTGCCCACTTCACTTATTAATAATCACGGCTTTTCACTGATTTACTTTACTTTTTTACTTTTCTGCTATCCCAAACATCCTACTCGCACCAACTATCCCTCGCATCGACGCATGCCCAACAAATACCTCCCTCCCTTCCCTTCATCACGGCGAGCCACAGCAGGAGGCAAGAGTCTTTATCATTCGTTCGCTTCGCGTGCTCGAGTTAAAGTGAGTGAGCTTCAGCTCTCTGCGTGGCTATGCGCCTTGGGCTCTGTGTTGCTGCTGTGCTCTCTCTCTCTCTCTCTCTCTCTCTCTCTCTCTCTCTCTGCTCTGCGCAGCCGATCGTTGCATTCGTCTATGCAATAATTCTTGATGTCGCGCGCCAAGCTGTTGCCGTCCGTATTATTGCAGTATGTGTGACGTGTGACAGCTGCAGAGGGGCGCCGTTAGTTTTCTGTGCGCTGTTCTCTACTGTTCCTCTGCCGGTGCATTAATGTGAGCGCTGCTGCTGTGGTTTCTTATGTTTTCTCTACCTGTTGCTGTCGCGAGTTATGGTGTCGCTTGTTCTTACTGTCCGTATGTCATGTGCCGTGTTGCTATGAGTGAGCCACTAGACTGGCTCACTAGCTGTAGAGAGGCTCCGTTACCTTGGATGAGCACCGTTAGATTTCTCAGTGTTGTTCTCTGTCAGTGTCCGTTTGCTCCTGTCCGACGCCAGGCTGTGTCGCTCTGCTGCTCGCCGTTCTCTCGCTACCCAATACTATGCGATTCTTCACAGCTGTTAAGGACCAATGCTTTTATTAACAAGCAAAAAAATGTATGGCAACAAGAAAAGAACTTTATCAATGAATAAGGTTAGAGCTTTACAATTAGTTGATACCTTTCTGTCTGCAAGATTAGATTGGAAGGGAGCAAAAGTAATGACAAAAATAGATAAAATATTGCTATTATAAGATATAACACTGATGTTAAAGTTTTAACATTGCTGTTGAACATATAACAGAGTAAAATTCCTTAAACTTAAGTCTCTGCTTCTATATTGATACTCTTTCCACTTTTAAGTAAATGCCGTTCTCAGCTGACAAGAGTATATTTTTAGTGACCCACTTCATGGGTATTTGGGTCTGTGGCGACACACTGAACTTGAAGTCCCTTATCAGGTGGGCCAAGCCCACAGACGTTTGCATCATGCCAAAGCGTGAGCCGATGCAATTGCGTGGACCATCACCGAACGGCAACCAGCTGCAGGCTGGCCGAGCGGCAATCTCCGCCTCTGTGAAGCGTTCGGGCTTGAATTTGTCCGGCTCCGGATAGATGTCGGGATCGTAGTGTATACCCAAAGCGGGTATTACAACTGAGGTGTTCTTTTCAATATAATGTTTTGGATCTCCAGGCGAATAGTCTGAGATGGCCTTTCGGGTAAGATGGGGTAGCACGGGGTACTTTCGTAGAGTTTCTGCATTAAAATATTCCAATTGTATTCAGGTTATTATAGAAAGATATATGATTTTACTTACCCATGACAACTTGTTCCAGATATTTCATTTCCTTCACATTATCGTAGGTGTATTCATTGTTGTACTTACTCAACACCTCGTTGATTTCCGCTCTAAGTTTGTTCTGTATGTCCTGATGCAGGGCCAGCTCATAGAGAGCAAATCCCATGGTTGTGGAGCTGGTTTCAAAACCGGCTACGAAGAAGATGAATGCCTGTGCGGCCAACTCCTCAAAGGTTAGACCCTCCTCTGTGTTGCCCGCCTTTTGCTTCTGGTACATTTCGATGAGCATGTCCATGAAGTCGTTACGCTTCTCCTCCATGCTAAGGCGATATTTGATGGTATCACGAATGATGCGTAAATAAAATTCCTCCACCTCCTCCACTGTTATCTTGAGATGCATGCGACGTGCCAGCTTTGGGAAGCCAAATATGAAGAAATCCAATATGCCACGATATCGTCGTTCCGTCACAGCCCGTTTGCCCATGCGAACGAAATCCGCGTCGGGATTACGCTGGCTGTTGCAGTCGAGCCCAAAGGCGCAGTTGCCAATTACATCGGCCGTGAAGCGTCCCACCAAGTCGGTAACTTCAAGGACCTGGGCTGTGGACGCTTTCTCTTTGAAGATCTTCGCCATTTCCTCGGCGACTTTGAGAACGATCGGTTGCATGTTCTTCATCTTACCGGAGGTAAAGGTGGGCGTCAGCTTGTGACGCAACTGCCTCCACTTCTGACCCTCAATGCTGAACAGTGTCGCGGACAGAGGATCGTCGAGTTCATTGTGGAATATGCCCCGATTCTCAAAGTTACTAAAGTCCTTTATTAATACACGCTTCACCAGCTCCATATCAGTGACAATCACAGTCTTCGTGAAGAAGAAATAGAAGCCAGCGAAGGGCGCATTTCTGTTCTTGTACTTCAGATAGTAGTCTCTGAAGATAACGCCTAATTGGCGCTTCGTCTGCCAATCGGCAATGTTGCCTTTCGGGAACCTAGGCTCATCGTGTGGAATGCCACGGCGATTCCAATAGTTGTGCCTATGTCTAGCTGCATAATAGAGCAGGGTAACAATGATTCCGATCAGCACTAGAATTGTCGACATTTCTACACCTCGATGCACACTGAGTGAATGATTCGCTGAGCACGCGATATTTATTGGCAAAAGCTCTATTTCTCAAAAAGCTTTTCCCATGAGCAATGAGCAAAGGGTGAGAAGGAGTGGAAGAGAGAGAGAGAGAGAGAGTAATTTGATCATAAAGTGCACTTTAGAGAATATGATAAAGTTGCGAACTATTAGAAAACTAATTTTGATTATATACTTAATACTAGTTTTTCAATAATTGTTGACTTAATTATATTCGTACATAGTAAGCTTACATTTGTATTTGTCAGTAATTTATCTAATCTAACTAGGTTCAGAGTATGAAAAGTCGCAATATTATACTGAGCAGTTGAAATTGAAATTGTATTCCTGTATTTGGAAAATGAATTTAGCAAAATCTTACTTAGTCGTAAAATATGAAACTATTTAATGTACATTGTTTTTGTATCTTAAAGAAAAATACTTATTTTGTTATTATTTAATTATTAAAAATTTAACGTGATTCAAATTTTATATTTTTTATAATTATATATATTTTTTAAGTTTTATATGTATATTTAGGTTAAATTTTTCTTACATATATACATATGTATATGTTCTTATGTTTTAGTACATTAATATTGTAGAATCAATAAAAAACATATAAAAGTCAGAGAAAATTCTATTTTAGTTTTATTTTAATGTTTTTAATATTAGATTTTTTAAAGAACATTATCCATTATCAGGCAGTGGTCAATATAGTTATGGCTATAATGTACTATATAAAATAAATGTATTTAAGTAGCTAACGTATTTATGGGAATTCAAAATCCATTACAATTTATTTCTTAAGCTCTTCAACTTTTAAGTAAATGCCCGTCGCTGGGCACAGCAATAGATTCGAATTTTGAAATTTAATTTTGGGCTCTGTGCGCGGACAGACACTGAACTGAAACCGTCTTAGCAGATGGAAGAGGGCGATGCTCGTTTGCATCTTGCCGAATCGCATGCCGATGCAGTTGCGCGGTCCATCGCCGAAGGGCAGCCAGGATGCCGTGGGTCGCTGGGCCATCTGGTCGGCCAGAAAGCGTTCCGGTATGAACCGGTGCGGCTCGGGATATAGTGCCGGATCGTGATGTATGCCATAGACGGGTATGTAAAGCATCTGGCCGGGCTCGATATAAAAGTGTCGATTGCCCTTGGCCGCATAGTACTTCTTGGAGACGCGCGAGAGATGCGGCAATGTGGGATACTTGCGAAGCGTCTCTATGGTAATGGAAAATCAATTAATATCTCTGTCTCTCATATCTCAAATATGATCTACCTGCTATAACTAGTTCCATATAGCGCAGCTCCTGCATGCACTCGTAGGTGAACTGTCCGCCGTGTGCCTGTAGTGCCAGCTCGATCTCCTCTCTTAGCTTCACCTGGATCTGCGGCTGTTTGGCCAGCTCGTACAGGGCAAAGGCCAGGGTCGAGGCGGAGGTATCGAAGCCGGCGGCAAAGAATATGAACGACTGCGCCGCGATCTCGGGCAGCGTGAGTTCGCCGCGTTGCTTCATTTCGATTAGGAGATTCATGAAGTCGTTGCGCACAATCCCTTTGGACTCGCGCTCCTTGACCGTATCGCTGACGATGCGCATGTAGAAGTCCGTGATGTCCTTGTGTATCTGGCAGAGCCGCAGGCGTCTGGCCAGATTCGGGAAGCTTTCGATGAAGCCATCGATGAGCTTGTTGTGGCGCCGATCTGTAAAGGCGCGTCGTCCCATCACGGCAAACTCGGCCTCCGGATTGCGCAGTCCATTGCACTCCAGGCCAAATGCACAGTTGCCAATCACATCCGAGGTGTACCTGGCCATCAGTTCGTTGATCTCCAGAATGCCGCAAATGGAATTGCTGGCCAGTTCGCCGCACACCTGCGCCAGCTGCTCGCCCACGGCGCTGACGGTGGGGAACATGAACTTCATCTTGCCGGAGCTGAAGGTGGGCGACATCTTCTGGCGCAGTGGCCGCCACTTGGGGCCGTCGATGCGAAACAGATGTCCCGTGAGCGGATCATCGCGCTCGTTGTGGTACATGCCGCGATCCTCGAAGTTGGCAAAATCCTGGATCAACACCTGCTTGGCCAGCTCGAGATCAAGCACCAGCACCACTGGTCGCAGCATAAAGTAGAAGCCCGCAAACGGTGCTCCGGTGGACTTGAAGCTGTCATAGAGCGGCGTCAGAATGTCCTTAAAGTGCTTCGTGCTGCGAAAGCCTTCCAGATTGCCCATGGGAAAGCTGGGCCGCACATGGCTGATACGACGTCGTGCCCAATAGCTGAGCCGTGTGCGCACGAACCAGAAGCTGACGGCAAGCGTCACGAGCAGCAGGGCAATTACGTCCAACATATTGTGCGTTTCACTTTCAACTGATCTGAGCCTGAGTCTGAGTCGGAATCTGTTCTCCGCAGAAGCGCCTAATCAGCTGCTCTGAGCAGAGTACAAAGTGCGTTTCAATGTAAACAACAACTCTATGGCAGATAGCTTCGTTTAATTGGCGCCCTGGAAGAGCGACGCTTGCCGATGATCGTGAATGTATGTATGTATGTATGTGACTGGAAATGGCTGGCTCTCAGCAGTTCCATTTGACAGTGAGAGTGATGAGCGAATAGAAAGAGAGAGAGAGAGAGAGAGAGTGGGAGAGAGAGCTGAAAAGTGCGCCTTCAACTTGAATAATGGCATTGCAATAACGGCATTGCACACAAGGCGCCGGGTGAGAGAACTAATGCCATGAATTACAGTTACATTCGCTTTGTGGCGGCAATCGCGTAAAGCGGGGGTCAGCTAGTAAATACCCTCTATTTTACTTATACATGCATACTTATTAATAAATCGGACTTGCATGCAATTTATTGATGTAAATAATTATACATTATTTTGATTACATTGTTACATTCGTATTAATTTATTTATTTTTTTTAATTTTAATTATTTTTATATGTCAAAAGTTTGGAAATAATTAAATTGAGTTGTCGAATATTTATATTTTAATAAAATGCAAGTTATAGCTTATAATATTGAATAGAAATTTTGATTATAGTAATATTTAATTAAATATGAGTACAAGCCCATTTTTACTTATCTACAGGGTATATTGAGCTGCGAGTTCACTCTATTGGCGTGCATATGCATATGTGTGTGTGTGTGCGTCGGCATGAATGCACAAAGTCGTTTACACGTTTCATTTATTCTCGACGAATATCGAACAAGCGTAGGCAGATAGAAAGAGAGAGAGAGAGTGAATGAGAGTAAGAAGCAGAGAGCAACAACGAAGCAATAACAAAGCGAGTAATATGAGGTTCGTCAAGTGCTGGCGCTCGAATTGAGCTTTTTCGCTTATCAAGTTTATTTTTAGTTGCAAAGTTTGAGTTCGCGTGGATACAACAATTTGTTATATTTCATCAATTTGGTGCGTATTGCAAATAACCGTTATCTTAGTACCTGACCTATGGCAACATTTTAACAATTATTCTGAATTCCATTGAAAACGAAACTTATGAGTAAAAAGATTGAAGTCCAAGTTATTTGCTGTAGCTTTAGTTGTAATAGACGAAATGGCAAAAAGCTTGGCAAGTGGCAAAACGAGAATCGCAATTGGTAGGTTGGCCAAAATATTTTGATGGTAGTGTCAAATATGTTATCAACTCATTCCAGGCGCTCTATGTCAGAGCAGCTATGGAGCTGAAGCATGAAGAGTATTCTTTAAGAGCCGCATTGGGCTTTGTCCTAAAGATCCGTTGGTTGTACTCAGAGCAAATATTCTTATCCACTCTCACTAATACATTCAAATCTGATGAGTTTCTTATTTGTATTATATTATTCACATTCTCCTCTGTTTCTTTCCAAAATAAAAATTATATATGCACCTACCGCACAGTCAACGTTCTTATTGGTATTAAGTCGTTATCTGTGCTATTTAATTTGTGGCCCCCACAGGTTTCTTACTCATGTTTTCTTATCTTCCGTTTGTTTATTTAATATTTTTTTTTGGCAAACTCATCGCGAATACACAAACATTTTGAATTGTTGTTAAACCACTATGAACAAATTAAGATTTTATTCAGTTTAAGTTCAACATCAGCGAGTAATTATAGTCAGATTAATATGATGAGGTTAAATCGCGGCTCATCAAATACGCTCTACTTTCAGAATAATTCCATCTTGGGTGGACAACGAAAAGTTACGCTTATTGAACTTTAATGGAATCTCAGTGTGCTCGGAAACACTGAACTTGAATCGACGCAGTAGGGAGATTAGGCCGACTTTAGCCTGCATTTTACCGAAGCGCTCGCCGATGCAGTTGCGAGGTCCGTCGCCAAAGGGCAGATAGGCAAACTGATGACGGGCCTTGATGGCAGCTGGCTCAAAGCGTTCTGGATCAAAGCGTTCTGGCTGGGGATAAATCTCAGGATCGTGGTGAATGTTATGCACAGGAATCACTATGGAGGTGCCCTTCTCGATGACGAGGTTTGTGCCAGGATCTGGGTAATCAGTTTTCGCTAGTCGCATCAGATGGGGCAGAATGGGATGCTTACGCAAAGTCTCTGAATGAAAATGATGAGGGATCGATTATTAAAGTAGAATATGGGATTGATCTTTAGTTTTCCTACCTGCAAGCACTTTCTCTAAATAGCTCATCTGGCTAACGGCTTCGTAGGTGAGCTCTCCATCAGCTGTCTGTTTGAGCACCGTCTCGATCTCTTCCCTCAGTCGCCGCTGTATATCCTGCTGCAGTGCCAATTCGTACAGACAGAAGGCCATTGTGCTGGAGGAGGTTTCGAAGCCAGCTATGAAGAAGACAAAGGCTTGGGCGGCCATTTGTTCGATGGTCAGACCATGGGACAGATCAATGCCTTTGCCTTGACGTGCTGCCTCCTCGTTCTCGGCGCGCAGCTCGATCAGTTGATCGAGGAAATCGTTGCGCTTGATGCCATTCTTGATGCGATGATCGACCGTCGATCGCACAGCCGTCATGAAGAAGTTCGCCACATCATCGCGTAGCACTTTC